GTCTTTTTTTCTTGAATAGGATTGAACCTTTCCTTGTATTCAAATTTTAGTAGGTTCCTATGGTTGGACAAGTACATGCTGGGTATTACATGAGCGGAGCCAGCTGGAGCCGGAGGTCAGACTAGATGGCCTAGGAGACCCCTTCTGACTAGCTTTGTTTCTATATCTTTAAGTTTTTTGTTCCAGTTAAAATGAAGTCCTTCCTGATGACAAATATTCATAAATGGCCACTAGGCGGCACTCGTGCACTGTGTGACCAAAACTGCAGAAGATGTGCCAGCCGTCTATTGCATCGTTATGCCATCTACCTGCATTTGGGTTTCTGCTTTTTGGTAGAATGGTCGGAATATTGCCTGAAATCATGTCTGCAGTAGTTCACCAAAACGTGAAACTATGCACATCTGTCATACTATATAAATAACTCAAACTCTGCATTCCAATTATTTCCACATAAATTCTCATATAGGCATGTTATGTAACGTGCTAAGCTGATTTAATGCAGAACATGTTTGCCCTTCAGCCAGCCACGTTGATTGCAGGGGAAAGTGGATGCAAGGGGTTCCTTACCACTTCTCAAGTGAGATGCCCCGTTATCTCATAGAAATCAAACCAACCGTACTAGGAGACTTTAAAAAAACTCCTGCTACTAGTTGATTCCTGCAGAATACTTACAGAACTTTACTACACACAGAAAAGGTGATGTGTCAAGGTGGTTTGCAAATGCATCCATGTCAAATATGTGTTATTGGCATGTCTGGGGTCCTTTCACATATCCTTGGCTGCAGGCAAGAGATGCTATCATTCATTCATTTAGAGTATTTCAGATGTGTACCTACCTTTTTTCCTTCTCAGATCTGTCCAGAGACTTTTGCAAATCATTTTGTGGTACATCCCTTCTTTGGTTATACTGACATATATTGCATTCCACCAAGAAAAATATAGATCCAACATCAGGGACTGGCATCATGAGGCACATGCCAGGGTTCCCCTCCCAAATGTGGGCCAGAGTCAACGTCTAATCTCCAGAATACCCAACACTGCTGCTCGTCATTGTGGTTGCTGCTGTTCACCTGCCCCTCACTGAGGGAACATTGACAACAGCAAGGGAAAGGAACAGAAGCCTCTGCTTTCCTTGTCCTTCCCTTCCTGGAGATGGTGTGGATTGGGCCCAGAGGAGCAAACCAACCAACTGGCAACCAACACATTGAGGAGAAGAAGGTGGGGCCACACAGACAAGTGAGCCACGCTGAGGGTGTTGTGCCCAAGAATCCCCACCCACTCCCCCCACAACCCAACAAGACACATTCTAATGTCCCTCAGATCAGCTTCTGTACCAGAGGACTTGAGAATGGCCAATGTAACAAAAGTTTAAAAATAGGTCCAAGGAGCATCTTGAGAATTACACACTGGTTAGCTCAACATTTGTTCTGGGTAAACTGGCTGCAAACGTTACTAAAGGTAAGAGAATGAGTAGGCCCATAGAGGGGCACGCCCTGCTAAAACAGAACCAATGTGGCTTCCACAAAACCAAGTCCTGCCTCACTAACCTATTATAGTACTTTGAGAGTGTCAGTAAGAATGTGGACAGGTGAGATCCCATAGACGTTGTTTGCCTGAGCTTACACAAAGCTTTTCACAAAGCCTCTCCCCAGAGATTCCTGAGCAAACTCAGCAGTTGTGGAATAAGGTGGGGGAGGGTCTTCTTATGGATAATTAAAAAATACAAAGCAGGCAGTGGGAATAAATGGTAGTTTCTCCAAATGGAGGGATGTAAACAGTGGAGTCCCACAGGGTTCTGTATGAGGACCAATGCTTTTCAACCTATTCATAAGTGATCTGTAATTAGGAGTAAGAAATGAAGTGACCAAGTTGGCTGATGAAAGCAAACTATTTAAGGATCTCTCCAACCTGGTAGAATGGGCATCAAAATGGCCAATGTGGTTCAATGTAAGCTACTATAAAGTAATGCATATAGGAGCAGAAAATCCCAACTTCAAATATAGGCTGATGGGATCTGGGCTAGCTGTGACTGATCAAGAAAGAGATCTTGGGTTGTGGCAGACAGTTCAATGAATAGCTGTCATGAAAAAAGGCATAATTAAGAAAGGAACTGACAATAAAACTGCCAAGATTGTGCTCCCCTTAATACAAATCTTTGGTGCCACCATACTTCAAATATTGTATACAGTTTGGATCTTCACACCTGAAAAAGTACTTCATTGAGTTGGAAAAAAAATGCAGAGAAGGCAACCAAAATGATGTTGGAGTTGGAGCAACTCCCCTGTGAGGAATGGTTACAACAGCTGGGATTGTTTAACTTGGAAAAAAGGCAAGTAAGGGGAAACATGATAGAGGTGTTTAAAATTACTCAATCAAATTTTTCCTCTTCCATTAATACTAGAAACTGCAGTCATCCCATGAAGCTGATTGGTGGGAGATTCAGGACGGACAAAGGGGAGTACTTCTTTGCACAGTGCCTTGTTAAACTGTGGAATTCACTGTCACAGGAAGTAATGATGGTCACCAATTTGGATGGCTTTAGAGGCGGACTGGAGAAATACATAGAGGCAGCTATCAGTGGCTACTAGCTTTGCTGCCTATGTGCTACTTCCTTTATCAGAGCCTGCATGGCCAGATGCACCAGTTGCTGAGGAGCTTGGGCAGGTGGAGGTCTTGCCCCTGTCCTGCTTGAGGGATCCTGAAAGCAGCTGGTTTGCCACCATGTGAACAGACTGCTAGACGGGTCTGATTCAGTATGGCTTTTCTTATGTTCTTTATTTCCAACGTGATGATTTGGATACAATCCTGACCTTTGCCGCAACTCACACAGAAGGTCTCAGAAAGTAGCATAATTGTTATTCTCTTAAATGACATAATACTTCCTGTTACTTCCTAAGAGGACCCCAGAATCTTCCTGCAGAATGCTCTGCTGGTGTTAGTACTCCATTTGGTACATGGGAATCAGGCTGGGCTAGGCATGGCAGTACATAAACCCCTTTGATTCTCTGACAGCCCAAACGGAACTAGTGATACCCTCATGCCAGCCCTTGGGATGGTACAGGAAAATCTCTCCCACAGACTAACTGCAAGTAGGATTGCTCTTTTGCCACTTCTCCTGCTACAATCCCACAATGCCCACACTGTGATCAACCACATGGGTGGGATCAAAAGGGTGAGTCGTTCCAGTTCAGTCACATCAGGCTAGAAAATCAATGCAGGAAACACGCATTAGATTGACCCCACCCCTGCTGAAAACCAGCCACTGAACGCTAGAATACTGTTTACTATTATGCAGGTGAAAAATACTTCAGAAGACTGTATTACAGCTCTGTGAAAATATTCCAATGAAAAATGCACCAGGGTAAAATTCTACCCGTCACTGAAAGAATTAAGAAAGGCTTTCCAGCAGCGTTCTCTATACTGTCGCACAAGATAAGAGGCCTCCTTCCTTGAAGGATTATGTATTCAGCTTTTTCAAGGACTTAATTATCAAATGTGATTTGCAAAGGTTTGTAAATTAGTGGTGAAGACAAGGGCTTTACTTTGGCAGTATCAGAAACAATCTTCGCTACACTAATTTCTTTCTTCCCACTGAGATCTTTTGCTTTCTTTTACCTTGTTCTCAATGAGACATTTTGAAATTAATGCCAACACTCAGATATTCTTTGATCATTTATCAGAGAAGTCATGTTGTAAAAAACATTTAGCTAAATATTAGAATGGAACATCAAAAAAGAAAGTGCTTATAAATTCACCGAGATACAACAGAAGTGAGAAATTTACTCAATGCAGCAGGCACCCCAGAAAAGCATTAGAAGAGAATCAGAGCAAATCTGCACAATCAATGCACCTGGTTCACACAACCAAAATAAACCAGTGGTGGCTTGTTTAAATCCCTGGGGTGTGCCAACTAATGCCAGGCACCTTTAGCCTAATTACCCACCCAACGCAGCTTGTTGTGTTGTCCAAACCCAGGAAGCATAACTTGTTTGATGGGGAAACAACTCTCAGAAAATCCCTAAGCTGTTATAGGGTCCTTTGAGGGTTCTTTTCTCCTAAAACAAGCCATTGCATCAGACTTGGACAAGACAGCAAGTTGCACCCTGGTGGAAAATGGAGCCTGGCATACGCTAGAGATTAAACATGCCACTAGTTAGGCTTGTTTAAGTCATGATGGCTCTTTTTATCATGCAGACTGGCCAAACAAGAGGCATCAGACACAATTTCCATCACATCTTCAGAAGGAAGTACACCAGCTGCTGACTGGCACATATATTGCGTACTGCAATGCAAACGGATGCAAGGATTGGGATAGTCTTAGGCCATTTTTCAAGTGATCAACAATCAGCCTTATTCTGTGTCACACAAGATTGCAGAAAAGAGACGCTCCCTGGAGTGCTAGCATCAAGTGCCACTGGTTCATTTTGCCCAGTGGCAGAAAATCTGTTTATCTGTCTCTGTAAGCAGCTCAGACAAGTTAATCTCAATGTCAACCATGATTTAGTTATTCCAGGGTCATGGCAAACAAACAGAAAAAAATCCCAGCCTTCAATGGCCAACATTAGAAGAACCCTGACCCAAATTTCACTTTTGTTATGCATCTTTGGTTGTGACATTATATTTTCGTTTTGAGGGAAGGCTTGCTAACAAGTTATGGAAGTGGGAAGAGAGTCTGGGGCAACTAGGTTGCCTCCAAGCTCAGTTTTATTGGCCCACAACATTCCTGACCATGAAACATTCACCCCTAAAATCATGTTCTTTACTTAGATACTGCAAATCCAACATATACCTGGCATTCTTTTGATTTGCTTTCCAGTTTCTGAAAAACTGTTACATGCTGCTGAAACATTTCCACATATCTCTCCGCAGTTATGAGGACTAGAACCCTTTATTATTTAAATCAAAGCTGATATGCTCAAAAACTCTAACATGAAGCCCATAGGATGCAAATGTTCCTTAGGAACAGTTCGTTGCCTAACCATGGAAAACAGAGACAATGGCTAAATATAGATTTTGGAGTATTGTTGGCTTCTAAGTTCATAGGTTTCAATCCCATTATTTCTCAGGGGTTCCTTTTCATCTGCTGCATCAATATCTTTCAGCTGAGGGAAATAAATAGGAGACGCTTTGCATTCATAATGCCTGTCGAGGGATTTCAAGTGTATCAGCATGTGGAGAGCGTAGGCCAGAACAAGAAGCAAAATCAGGGACATGACCAGGCCCATCAGAATTGCTGGTGGGAAGAGCGAAGCACAATCTTTTGCGTAAGCAAACTGTCCGTCCTCAATGTTAAATCCTTGTATCTGTTAAGAGAAGAAAACTGTGAATTAAAATAGCCTCCCACTCCTAGCTAAAGGTATGTATACATGTATGCATTTACTATATGTTTTAAACAACCAATAACCCAAGTTCTCTGCGCAATGTACAATACATTAAAAAATAAAGTACAACAATGAAACCATTATAAAAACAGTGCATATTTAAAATCAGATTAAAAGATGTAAAAAGTTTTACACTGCCTGAGCACCTGAAGACCATAAAGCAGAAAATGTCAGGTGAGCCTCTGTGGGGAGGGCATTGCACAAATGGGGTGCCACCACTGACGAGGTGGTGCAATCCAGGAAGCCAGTGTGGTACAGTGGTGGGACTGGGACCCAGGCGATCCCGGTCCTAGTCCCCAGTCAGCCATGGAGCCAACTGGGTGACTTTGGGCCAGTCACCATCTTTCAGCCCAACCAACTTCACAGGGTTGTTGTTGTGAGGATAAGAAGAAGAGAATTGTGTGAGCTGCTCTGAGTTCCTTGGAAGAAAACAGGCGGGATATAAATGTAATATATTAATTAATAAAATTTGAATTGTTAAATCCTTGACCATTTGCCTATCCATTCCAAACTGCAATCCAACCCCATCCTCCTGTATTTCACCTGTGCCAGGAAGGTCATAGACCATTTTGGGAAAGGACTGAGCCAAAGTAGGAATTGCCTTCTGTCTTTTCTTTGTCATCAGTTATTGTTTTGCCATCCCTGGTCAGTAGCTGAACCATATCTGCCAGAAATCAGATATGGACATAAAGACAGCTAGATTTCCTGAGAGAAAAAACTGACTTGATTTTTTTAAACTACAAATGGAGATCGCATTCTGAGGACAAGGAAGCATGGAGGAGAACATAAAACAGGTGGGGATGATTCTGTTCTTATCTGAGGAGCACAGTGGCAGCAATCCTGTGTCACTATGGCAATGGGCTGTAAGATCGGCTCTGCCATCAAATGCAGAGAGAAAGCTGAGAAGGGATGGTGCTGAAATACAGAAACAAACACCCTTGTCCACCCCTTCCTAATCTGGTGTTCTGCAGTTGTAACAGGCTGTATCTCCCATCACCCACAGCCAGCACAGCCAATGGGTAGGGTGATAGGAGCTATAGTCCAACAATCTCTCTCTCTCCCTCTCTCCGCCCCCATGGGAACACCCAATAATGAACCAGCTGGGGTGAATGCTCCCCAGATGGAGAAGCTGACACCTGGCCCCTTCCAGAAAGGAGACTCCCCTGGTATTCTGAGATCAGAAGCAGAGGATAACTCTCTAGGCTCAATCAGCCCCAGTACAGCTGAATAAAAGCTTTGGGACAGAATTTTGGAGCACTACATGGTACAGAAACAGCTTCTAAGAGCACCTTCAAGCAAATGAGAATTGTTTTCTCTACATCATCCAGAAGGGTGGATCCTACTTGGCTCAGCTATATGCGTTGGAACGAACAATTAACCTTGCCTTTTCCTTCTCCCCTTATCCCCATAAGAAGATAAGAGTCAGTAGCAGGCATTATGTGCTCACCTCAGCAACTGACCCGAGAGTGATCTCATCACTGAATGGGAGAGGACAGAGCACACGGGGAACACCTCTCCAAAGGCTGAAAGGGTCAGATGAGAGGCTTTGCTAAGTAAACATTTGTCACCACCAGAAACAGCATTGTGTACCAGGCTCCCCTCCTCTTTTATAGTTAAAGAAATGTGATTTAAGATGCCACCATGGCACACACCTCCCTGCCCAAGACCACACCCATTGAACTAATTTGTAAGATCACAAAAAGCCACCCTGGCTTGCTGAAGCAATCTACAACAAGCCACCATGGTTTGTTTAAGCCACAGTGACTTGCCATGAGATGCAGTGCATGCCAGGTGCAATCTGCATCATCCCTGCCCAGCAGCAACTTGTTGGATCATATGAACCCAGGTGGCATGGCTTGAGGAAGGTTAAACAACCCTCTTATAACCCTGCGATAGCCCATAGGATTTTCGAGCATTGTATAACCATGCTACTCAGGTTTAGACAACATGGTAACCAATGGCTGGATGGTGATTATAGAAATCACAGCCAAAGGCTCATAACAAGCCGCTCTGGTTTCTTTAAGCCATGGTGGCTTCCTTTGACTGTGCTGGCCAGGTCACTGTAGTAGCCATTAATGGTGATGTACCAGCCTAGACCCCACACCAAGGGGGAGAGAAACTAGATAGAATGCTGTCATTTTCAGTTGGAAATGCATAGGTACCATAATGCCTGGTTGTGTGAGACTAAGGCTCCAATTGTAGGTACATTGATTAAGAGAAACTGGACAGCCATCTGAGTGGGATGGTGTAATGTGGTGTCCTGCAACAGCAGGAGGTTGGACTCGATGGCCTTCACCCAACTCTTCTATGATTCTATGAAGTCTCATTAAAGTCAGTAGCAATTGCTTCTGAGTAAAAATGCTTAGAATTATGCTGAAAGTCAGTTTAACTCTGACTCTGACTTAAGCGTTCTCTGGATCATTTCTTCTTTTTCTTTTAAAGTTAACTAGCTAGTATTTAAATATGCAGAATATATTATATGAAGATGTTTGAAAAGGGAACTCTACTGAGCACAATGAGAATCGCTTCTAAATCAACATCCTTCAAAGAGGGTGTTAAAAAGAACTGGTGCCAATGGAAAAGGCAAATGCTTGAGTTATTGTGTCAGGGAGTTCCTTAGGCCCTGAAATATAAATGTTGCAGCAGCAGCAACCCATGAGTGGGATCAGATACTCTGTATGTGGCAATAGCAATGGAACCAGATTCCCCTTCCCTGCATTTGTTTGTAGCAGTGGGATTGGCTAAGGAGGGAATGAAGTACTTCTGCATAAGCATTCCTAGAATTGAATTACCTATCCTACAACAAGAAGAGTGAGACTGTCTAGCTTCTTTTCTGTTCCATTCGTACACCTTAATTTACTGTAATTCCCAGCAATTTGTTTTAACTGGGTCATTAAGGCTGCAATTCCCTCAAGGCTTCCACGGGAGGTCGTTGAGGCCCCATCAGTGAGGGTGTTCAAGGATAGGCTGGACATGCACATGGTGGGCATGCCGTGAGCGGAGCCAGCTGGAGCCGGGGGTCAGACTAGATGGCCCAGGAGACCCCTTCTGACTCACTCTGTTTCTCTGTTTCTAAGCTTAGACAGGAGAAAGTCTTACAACTCCCAGCATGCCCCAGTTAGCCATGCACAGGTTTGTGTCCTAACCTTTCTGCCAATGCAATTAGAGGGTCTGCCTAGGTATTCTGCTACATTTACTTGATCTGTCTTTTCTAGATATTACCTGAAAATCAATAAAAGTGACTTCCCAGAGCTTGGCTGCATCATTTGCGGAGCTGGGCGTCAGGAGTGCATCGTACCTCTGCAAGTTGCTAACATGTTCACAGTGATAGGAGTAGATCGCTGGTGCGTGAATTCGAGTTGCGTTGAATGTTGCTTGCACGGAATGGTTGTAGATGAGCTGAATTCTATGTAAGGTAAACCAGTTTTGAATGGACAGTTTGTAATAACTGTTTGTCAGTATAAATCTAGGGTGGAAAACCAGAAAGAGAAAAAAGAATAACATCTGCAATAGCTTTCACCATACTGTTCCATTCCTTTTTACTAAGGACACTTAGCAAACCCAATCATCACTGCACGAGACAGCCTCTGCCATCTGATGCTCTCTAGTTCTGTTGGACTGCAACATCCATCACGCTTAGCCAGCACAGCAAATGGCCTGATGCTTTTGCACACACTTCAGGAGCTGGTGTACATGACACCAGCATATTTGGCAGGCAACGTCAGATGTAAAGCAGGAGTACCTAACATTGGGTCCCCAGTTCAGCCCTGGAGCTCAGTGAGTGACCCTGATTCAGTCACTACCTCTCAGTCTAACCCACGGAGTTGTGACAATACACAATGCAGTGTCAAGCAGTATGTTTAAGGATTCAGACCATGAGATGTGACAGCTATGAGGTTGCTCATCACCTAGAAATCCAATCCAAACAGCAGGCCTGCAGCACCTCAGGCCCACAGGTGAAATCTGCCCACCTCCCACCCTAGCATGCTGGCATTCTCCTGCTGGCTTGGCCTCTCTGCTATTCCCAGAGTGCCAATCGTCTGGTGTTTCTCAGTTTTTGTGCATTCTCTGCCCCGTTCTGCAAGGCTGACATGCTTCTCCAGAGGCTTAGTTCCTGGTGGTGCTGGTATTCTCTGGTCTGTGGGCCCTGCCCCCTTTGCCTCACCCTGCTTTGCCTTCATCCCCACACGCCACTGGAACGCAATCCCCAAGAGCATCTCCAAAACTGAATTTGGCGTTTATGCTGCAAGATGTTCAGCACTCCTGCCATACGGTAATGTGGTAGATAAACGGACACTAACATCTTCTTAAATTTTCATAAAGTTCAAGTGAGAGCCAGAGTTGCCTAGTGGTTGGAGAGTTGGACTGGGACTTTGGAGATCAGGGTTCAAGTCCTCATTCAGCCATGAAGTTCAGTGAGTGACTTTGAGCCAGTCACAGACTTTCAGACTAACTTACCTCACAAAGCTGTTGTGAGGAAAAAATGGAGACGAAGACAAGGAGCATATAAGGTCCCTAAGGTCCTTGCAGGAGGAAAAAGGGCAGGATATAAATGTAAGAAATAAATAACATATAAGCATGAAGCCATCAATATCAGGCAATCAAAGGCAATTATTTAAAGGCCCATTCATTTCAGTGGGAGAGGAGAAGGGATGGGAACATGGTTAATTATACTACTGAAATGATTAATGTTCCAGACATTTAAAGAGTGGTGTTTTTTATGGCAGCTATGCCAGCTTCTTGATTTATAAGGCTATCTAACAGGTCTCTATGGAACGTAGTTACCTTGGGTATAGACGACTACTCTAGGCAGGGTTTAATATAAATACATTAGCTGATCCAGCAAACAAAGACTAGGAATTACTGTTTGAAAACATACCTGATAACAAATCCCTTCAAATTGTCAATGTCACCAAAATTAAGTGAAAGCCTAGACCAAAAAAAAAGGACAATACCATATTAAAACAAGAAATATAAAGTCAGCTGCAGCAGCAACAGGAAATATGACTAAAATTATATTCATGGAACTATGAATACTGTTGCATAATGTAGTATTTGAACCCTTCTACTTTTTGGAAAAATTCAAAAATTTCTTCATGGGCTTTGCACAAGTTTAAGTTTCCCCCTGTTGGGCAAGATTTTGGTTTGATCCTGAATTTCCCATGGGGTGCTTTGCGAGGAGAACTATGGAGAAGGGCAACACAAATGATCGGGCATCTCGAGCAGCTCCACTATGGTGTGTGGCTACAACAACTGGAACTGTTCAGCATAGAAACAGGCAAATAAGGAGAGACATGATACGTAGGAGTGTTTAAAATAATGCAAGTGTAAAGGCATTTTTCTCCCTCTTGTGGAACACTCAAGCCCAGGCTCATCCCAGGAAGCCGACTGGTGGGAGATTTAGGACAGATAAAAGGAAGTGCTTCTTCACACAGTGTATAGTTAAACTATGGGATTTGCTGCCACAGGAAGTGGTGAGGGCCACCAATCTGGATGGCTTTAGAAAGAAAATTGGACAGATTTGTGAGGGAGGAGGCTATCAGTGGCTACCAGCATTGCTGGCTATGTGCTGCAATGTGGCATCCTGCATACACCAGTTGCTGAGGAACTGGGGCAGGTGCAGGTCCTACACTCAGCCTGCTTGGGGGAACCATGTGGGCAGCTGGCTTGCCACCATGTGTGCAGAGTACTGGCCTAGATGGATCTTTGGTCTGATCCAGCATGGCTCTTCTGATATTTCAAGGAAGATGCTTCCAATAAGAGTTGGCTGTACTGAGCTCAGAGGACCACAGCTCAAACAGAAGAAACCACAGCCTTTTCTGTTCTTAACCCTATGCATGGTATGAGTTTTACATGCCATCAAGACATCTGAGTTACAAATGAAAGCCCTCCCAAATGTCCTATCCATGACATCCCTGCTTAGCGCTTCTAAATTCACACCATCAAGCCTGCAGCCACAAAGCAGCAGTGGGAAGAAGGTGGACCCAGAGCAGCTTTTATCAGGACGTGTGGAACAAACCATAATGGTGTAACCGGCATCCTGGTCAGCTGAGTCACTCAGCAGTACCCACACAGCAGAAGTAAGCAAGGGGTTTGTGAAGGATGGAGGCAGCTGGGATCGGCTGCTTCCCCCTCCCAATTCAAACACAAACAGCTTCACTCAGTTGCTACTCAACAAAATCCCAAATAAGGCTAGAATAGCCAGGTGGCCTACTTTAATGATGGTGGTTCTCTGTTTGAAGGGCTGTCCAGTCCAAACACTACTTAAAGAAGAAAGGAAGGAAGGAAGGAGAACAATGGGGCCCATCAACACCAAAACCTGAACAGGTGTTATTTGCACAACTACTCAGGTCACCTGGTCACCTGTTTGGGCAAGTCACCCATAGCAGAGCTTGAATGATTTACCCCTGTAATCTCAAAGACTGGACAATCACCTGATGAGAATTACATGAGTGGAGCCAGGGATCAGACTAGATGGGCCTGGGGTCCTTCTGACTCGCTCTATTTCTATGTTTCAGTACCACAGTGCACAGCCCCAATTTGATGGGAACCACAGCACTCTGGGGAGCGAGATGCGAGCTTTTCTTTTCTTACATACCTAAATTCTACTCCCCATGGGGTCATGGGTAGTTAAAAAAAGAAAAACGTTTTCACTGGAATCAATATAGATTTTTTCTTCTTTTAACTCCTCCTTTTTCTTCTTTTAATTCCACACAGGAGTGGAATTTTGGAACTAAAGCTGGGGAGACTTAAACCCTCCATTCCAGAGCACATGGTTTCCATCTGAATCAGGGCTGCATGTCCTTACATTGAGGCAGATAATCCAATAATGAAGAATATGTTGTCTTTTCCTCTACAAAGAGATGTAAATTATAGTAATTATTTCTAAATATGCCTCTATACATAAAACATTTGCATATGCCATTTTTCTGCAAACTTGTGCCTTCTTTTGTCCTCCTCTTCAGCAGTCTGTAACCAGCCACTCTCTGGCAGAGGAACTGCGCCATCCCCTCAGTCTATGACTGACTGTAGTTCCGCACCCCTCCCTGGAAGCCACTGGGCAATTCTGGTCCCCACCACACAGGCCTTAAACCTGATTCCAGTGTGAAGGCAATGGGTGGCAGGCCATGTTCTAGAATAGATTTCTCACTGGGGTGCCACAAATGTGCCTCGCACACCCACTGGATGGAGTGAGGCAGCCCTCCATTGGTGCAACACTCCTGGGACTGCTGGATGCTTGCTTTCCACTGGTGGACTCCATGAACCTCCAGGCACTGATGGCAAAGGAAGGGTTTTTATCAATATCCTTACTAGACCAGCAGTTGAAATGCATTAGAACTGCAGCCGGTGGCCGCCAGATGGGCTGCAGTACAGCTCCAGCCAACTCAACCAATGGTAAGAAATGGTGCGAGTTGTAGGCCAAGACCAAGCTCCCAAACCTCATTTGCTGGATTACTTCCTTCTTGCATCTGTAACACTCCGTCTCTCCTGTATTTATTTTGGAAATGAATTGCCTGAGAAATTGTGTGAATATTTGAAGCCATCAAACTACCTCAGCCAAGCTGTGTCAGAGGCATCCTCATCACCAGGACAAGACAATACAGATCTATTTACATTCGTTTTTCCTTTAACCAAGCCTTAGCCACTCCCCAGAATAGCACCTAATCTTACATTGCATTTTCTTCACTGCAGTTTGAGTCAGCAACATCCACAGTTGCATGAACACCAAATGTCTTGTCTGTTAGGTCCAGCTGAGTGCGATTCTGGAACTTAATCATGATTCTTCTGGCCCAGAAAAGAATACAAGGACTTCCATTGACTGTGACATTAAGAGGGCTGTAGTGACCGTGGATGATAGGCTCTCTCTCTGTGCTCTCTTTGCTGCTTATGTTGTAATTCACAATCTGTGTGTAACCAAGTAAAAGATTAGAATTACCATTCTGGCATGTCACATAAAACAATGAGCAACAATGGTAGCATACCATGTATGTCTCAGTCTATAAAACAAACTCATTCCCAGTTGCTTTAGCACAAGGCTGCTCAACGTAAATAATTGCGGAGCATTCTGTAAAGTTAATATTTACACGCCCCATTCCCACCTCCAGTCCAAGGCTTTGTTAGATCCCCAACAGATTAAAAATACAGCAGAAACTATTATCTGCTGGGGAGGGTTGCCCCAACAACCCACAGTGGTGTGTCAACCTTGTTTGCTTCAGAATGACTTGTTATGCTGTTTGAACCTGACAGAGTTTCCTGTGCCAACCTGGTGTAAGGAGAAGTTGCTGAGTTGCTGTGGATGAATATCCTGGGGTGGGGGGTACACTTCATTTTCAGGGTTTGAGCTGTGGTGGGTGTTCCATGTGAGCTCAGTGAGGACAGGCTGTTGGGCTGTTTGATAAGTTACCTCCATCACTGAAACAGCCCAGAGTGAGGCATGGCTTATCAGAAAGGGCTACAGAGTTGCCTGGGAAAAGCAACCGAAAACCCAGTCGCTCCTCATGATCTCACTAGCAATGTTCCCTCTATATTATGTCTTGAAATAATTTAGTTCTCCACTTGGCCACCCCTCTGGAGAGCAATGCCTTCCTTTCTTCACCTCCAGGGAAGATCTGCACACATTTAACTCTTTTTTAAACCTTGTAGGATTTTTGTGCATGTTTAATATATTCAGGAAACTTTGCACAAGTTCACAGTAACTGCTATATTTATGCACAGTGCTTTAGAGAATTTGTGAAAGTCTCCTTTGAATTGTTAAAAAATAGTTAGATTTGTACAAATCTTCCTGAAGAAGGAAAAAAACCAAATAAACTCTGCTCATAAGTTCGTTTCCACTCATTAAAGGAGTGTCAGTATAGGCTCAAAGGCCTGTGGCATTGGGGTCGAGAGCAGGTTGAAGAACTAAAGAGAAAACAAGATCAGAAAGTAGCAGAGCTGCTGGTCATCTGATGGGAGTAACACAAGTTAGAAAGCAAACAACACATTGAGACTTATTCTCATGGAGGCTCATGATGGAGTGTGAACCAATCCTATCAGTGTTTGGTTAAGTTTAAGTTCAGTCCTTGCTAAGCCATAATGGCTCACTGGATAGTCCTTGACAAGTCACTTTACTCAGTTTAAACTCTTTCACAGGATCATGCTTTGATAAAATCAGATAAGTGTCGTTATTATGTGTAAAGCAATTTCATAGGAAATGCTAAAAAAAAAAAAAAACTTCCTGGTTGCCCTTCTGGAAATATAAAAGTCACTGCTTCCTCTAATGAAGATACAGCAAGACAGAACTGACACATGATAACAATAACCAGCAGGAAAGATCCCTACTGCATCTCCTCTGGATGACACTCCGATTCCAGATCAACTAATACAGGCAAATAATTTGTGCTACAGAAACCTACATTTGTCTCTATAACGCATACCACAAGAATTTCTCTTGGCTCATTCAAAACATTGCTATGGTTTCCTGTCATAATAAGAATCTCCATATTAGAAGTTCAAAAACATGGAAGATAAAGGAAGCCAATTTGCAGGGATTCCTTAAAGCAGGTGCCTTAATCAATTACACTTCTGTGCAGACAGAGTGAAATAATCCAAATACATTGCTGGAGATATTTGACAGAAAAATAGTTGCACAAAAGGACTTGGAGAGAGTGAACAGAGGAGGAGAAACAATCACTTTGTAGGTAGACAATGAAAAAAAAATGCAAAACTTGTAACTAACATTCTTTTATTCTTGATCACCTAGTATTGCCTTGGCATACAGTGGGTTTTTTACTAGAGCAATGGTCAGATCAGAGAGACCTTGCCAAGTATCGACCAAGTTCAAACAGAAGCCTAGAACCATGATTGTATAGGCTTCGCTGAGTATGAAAAAATATTCATGAGGAGGCAATAATATTGCTTTCCAATGCTAAAACAACATTGTATACTTCAAATAATCTGACAAATATCATAGCTACTCTATAGAATTCAGAAGGGAAAGGATTGTTATGTACATTATAAAAGAACTTACGATACAGTTTCCTGGTACCTCCATACCTGTGTAATTGTTACTTGTTGTAAATTAAGTTTTGGCTTCACGCTGCCATCATATCCGCGGCCTACAGAAGAAGAAGTACATCAAGCAATTCTGTTATCTGCACCTATCAGTGAGCATATGCAGCTTTATTTATTAGCTCCAAAGAACACCTCTCTACATTCCCATTAAAATTAATTCTAACAACAGAGTTTCAGAGTCAAAGCACATGTTACTTAGCAGTGATGTCTTCTTCCCTTTGACTCAGAAAAAATCAGAGTTCTTGGATCCAAGTGTGGGGTCTGGCCACCTTGAACCCTCTCCCCCATTGCAATCCCAATCTGGATCCCCATCACCTCTCACAGCTGCCTGAAGTGCAACTGGTGACCTTCCAGATGCTTTGGTCTGCATCATTTTTCTTTATTCATTTATTAGATTTATAAACCACTCCCATCACCCTATAGGGCTCTATGGGTGGTGTACGTATAAGAAAAGAAATCAATCATAAAAGCAAATAAAATACATATGGTACAATTGTATAGATCATAAATTTAAAATTACTCAAATACAGTAATAATAAAACCATCATAAAAAGTCCTAAAATATAAAATAAATTCAATATTATTCAAACTTTAAAATATCTGGAAAATACGAATGTCTTTACTTGGTGCCAGAACAATAATAATGAGGGTGCCAAGCGTACTTCTCTGGGAGAAGCCTATTTCAGAGTTTGGGTGCAATCACCAAAAAGGCCCCTCTTCTATTTTCCATTCGCCTTACCTCTTTGGGGGATGGCTCTTCAAGAAAGTCTTCTGAGCTAGATGTTAGTGGTCTGGTAGGTGTATCATCTCCCTACTATTACCTGTGCTAGCTCCCTCTGCTTGATTAGAGAACTGTTTGGCAAGATAAAGTGTAAGGGGAGGGAAGGGAATCTGGATCAAGACCAAAATAGAGGGAAAGTGCTAAAGATGCTCAAGCACCCCACAAGCTCAAGTGCACGAGTGCTGTACTTGCTCTCCAGTATGTAAGAAGAAAAGGTTGCTTGGATTTTGGACAACAGAATTTGCTATTCCAGCAATCTGACTGTGTTTTGTATGGAGGAGCCGGAAGTGGGGAAAAGGCATGAGATGAAGAGTACTGAAGAGATGAGGGGAATCCCATTTGACTTCTGCCTTCTCCTTTATTCTCTTGCTGTCTCAGGCTCAGTTATTTCAAGAATGGGGAGGTACATTAATGAATATTTACTCTTATCTGCCCTTAGAATAGGGATGATCAAAGTGTTTAAAGATGCAGGAGATTCTTCTATGCTCTGGCCTGGCAAGCAAGTTTGTTCATTTATAGTTTGCTTTATATTGTCTATTTACTATATTTTTAATTTGTCCAACAGTCCATGTTCTGTGGCCAGATTGCAAATAGTTAAACGACAAAGATACCATAGAACTGAACATATAAATGCAATACATTATTTAAAAGAATGTAATACAATACCAAACACAGAGGTAGCTCAAATATCCATAAAAGAACTAGAACGAGATCACTAAAATGCCTTTGAGAAATAGAAAGCCTTGGTCTGGTCCTGAAAAGATCATGCAAATGCCAAGCAAACCTCTTTAGGGAGGGCATTCCAGAAATGGGCCACAGTAACTGAGAAGTCCCTCTTCCCTAGCTTTCCTTGGCAGAGTCACCTGGAGAAGGGTCCCCAAACGTGTCCTGTTGATCCAAACAGGAGACATTCCTTCAGACACTCCTGACCCCAAACTGGTGAGTGCTTTAAGCATCATCACCAATATTTGGTGGCCTCAGAAACAGACTGATTGCACGGCAGGCAACATGCTCCACAGTTCCTCTAAGGACATTGCATTGCACTTTCTTTGCCTCTCAGCCTCTTCTTTCAAGCGTCCCACTGGGAGACAAAACAAAGGGTGCTGCAGCCACTGACTGGGAGAGAAAACCCCCGGTCTTCCAGTGAGCTGACTGCACACAGGGGATTTCATTCTGTGTTGAGGTTACCATTGCTAGACAAGGGGCTGAAAATAAAGCCCTGCTCTTCACGCCATTCCTTCTTCCCCACATGTCAGCAGTCTGTCTCATAACTTGCAAGAAGCAACCCTTGCAGAACAATCTGCTTGTCTACTCAGAGGTAAGCCCCATTGAATTCAATGAAACTTACTGTCTGGCTGCTGAAGAGGAACAGATAGGTAACTGAGTTTGCTTGTGATGTTGTAGCCATCTGTCTATCTCTGTGTTTTGCAGAGAGATTTGTTGAATCCTTTATTGATTAATATGCCCAGTAGTCATAGATTTCAGGGATGTGGTGATTTTAATCCCTCAATTCTACTTTCAATTGACATCTGGAACAGGCTGCAGCAGAGGAAATGTCAAGCTGAATGATTCTATCAGGCCACTGAAAGACCAGCTCCATCAAGTTCCTCCTCCCTGAACAGGCTCCATTCTGAGAGTAATAACCCCTTCCCTTGCCTATATAACTTAAAGTATTGCTGGCAGGGTATTCATGTTTGCTTCTTCCCTCCTCATCCTTTTTTCCTTTTGTGTCATGTCTTTTACATTGTTAAATGTAGATTTAACATTTAAAAGACAGTAAATTTAGAAGATTTGTACAATATTGTTTGTTACTGATATTGTATCAGTTGTTCTGGGAGTGAGTTAAACTGAAAAGTGAGTTAAAATGATTTAAATAAATATAAACACGGGTCTGTTTAGTTAAAGCATTTTAAATAAAGGGTTGCCACTTAAATGCTTCAGGGAGGGGCTGTGTACAAACACTGAATAAAGAACTTGTATGTGGGGGAGAAAGTAGCTAAAAAAGAATGCCCTTTCTTTGCTTTCCTTTATTTTGCTGATTCCATTTTCCAGAGAAGAACATTGCAGTATGAACATGTAACAACTCATATCTACACCCAGAGCTTTTGATATTAGTACTGGATATACAGATGAAGGATAAGCAAAGCCTTTTTCATGGAAACAAAGCACTTTGTGCGAGAAACACAGCAATACTGCAAAGCCATGTAATATTCTCCATCAGCGGCCAGAAGCTTGTGCATATAGAAGTGCCCATAATTTTAAACAGAAATTTTATAACATGTCTTATATAAATCCACAGAGCTTTCAAAATAGCTTAACTTTCATTTTTAAAACCTTACCGTTTCTTTGGAGCAACTCTTGGTCAGTAAATGTAAAGAAACTGCAACGAAGCAGACACACAAAACAGTATTTGAGCTTGGGTTTCCTTAAGCTTACCCACTTCATTTAAGCAGGACTAACACAATGGGTGGGTGGGAGTTTGTACATAATGTTAAGTCACCCCTCTGAGCAAGTTTCACAAAAGAGCTCACAGTATGTCCAACAGTCGATTTGCTATGGATTGTTCTTCCCCTTGTTCCCTTCAGTCCTCCAGCCTACATCCCAGGTGACTTTAAAGCTGCACCTTTCTTGTCTCCTGGTCCAGACCCCTCCCTGCTCTAATTCCCATCCCTTTTCATTCCCTGGAGTTTGGTGGGCACTGGTGCCTCAAAAATGCGCAATGGGTGGGGGGCACACTTCTTTTATTGTTCTTGTTTTTTCTGGTTGGTCTTGTTGCTGCTCTTTCGCAAGTGTGCTCTTATGATGGTCCAATCCACACAATCTTGCCTGATCAATTTCCTTGTATGTTTCAGCTGTCAAAGGGGTCACCAAAGTGGAGCAGGCAAAGTACAAGGAAAGTGACCAGAGGAAGCCTCCTATCAGCTGGTTTGTGCACACTTGCAAAGGACAGAGGGAGAAAATAGTAAAGGAAAGGAGCAATCCATTCACACAAATCAGAGCGGATGGGAAATGCAGCCCAACTACATCTGGATGGCAACACATTCTCCATCCCTCTCCTAGGCCAAGGAAGAAAGGAAGTGGCTGCAGGCTAGCTTGTGTTTGGGGGATCTGTGCCTTTGCTTGAAATGTTGGCTTGTTTCAAAATGCCTTTCATCAAAACTTGGTACATCTGCTAAGGAGAGGATTTCACCAAACTTATGATGTAGAGGAGAGAAAACATATGCATTGGTTTGATGTCCCAGCGGGACTCCTTGAACAATCCAGCACAAGACTCTTTTTTATTCAGGTTTTATTTCTCTAGATACATAATCTAAAGATTTATTCAGGTTTTATTTTTTTCAGGTTACACAGATAGATAATCTAAAGATTTGTGAAACAGCTTGTAGCACTTAAAGCAAAATCCTATACAAGTTTAGCCACAAAAAGGACTTATATACCTCGCAGGGTGCACACACTGGGAGCTGTATGCCTTTTTCTGACTACACTTGCATTAGATTGTTCCCTTAAATTTCCCACCACCTGGCTTCTGCACAGCAAGCCCCCGCAAGTTGGCTCAGGAAAGACAATCTCAAGTGAAAACCTTTCCAGCCTTGATCCTCCTGGTAAAAGATTGATGCAGGTAACGTGACACTACATTTTCATAAACCAAGGTTCATGGAGAGTTCAGACCTAGTAGACTTCTAAGCGTGAAGGATGGTGATCTCAGCATGGCCTTGTCAGCTAAGGCTTACTTGAAATACTCTTTGCTGCATCACTCTTCAGGCATGGACCACAAAGTGGAAAGTAGGAGCAATGGGGAGGCCCAGCTCAGCTTTGCTCAGTTTCTCATTTTCCCAATGCTAAATTCATTCCATCCCAATTCTGCATCAGACTGCATTTTTTTTCAGCTGGCACACAAATGTGTGCATATTTTGTATACTATTCTTTAAATAAGCATTTTACAACATTTTTTCAAATGTATGCATTTTTAGTAAGTTCCTGTCCTCACAGCTTATCTACCCAAGGCATTTATTGTGCATTCAAGGATCCTTGCTCACAGTTACTTATGGGTTCTTTAGACAACATTAAGCTCCTTGATGTTGCCTGTGTTTTTTCAGAGAGTTTTCTTAGGTTTTCTCAGAATGTACAAAAGGGGGTATTTTTTCTGAGCGCTATTCCTATAGATGTATTGGCCCAATAGTACCATAGTGTAGCTCCACCTAGAGATTATGTAGCAGAAAAGCAGGAAAAGAAATGCTCTTTCTGAAGAGTTCTGATCTTAAGTTCTGTGACAAAACTGAAAGCAGATGCAACAATTTACACCCTTGTGTAGAAAGGTTCCCACCACAGGACAACAGAAAACCCACAAACTAGTACCAAAGGCAAGATCTGATATGATTGTTTGCATCTGTCCAGTCTCTAAGGCGGACAGATCATGGAATCAAAGAATAGTAGAGCTGGAAGGGGCCATGAAAGCCACTGGATCCAACCCAATTTACACCATCCCACTCAAATGGCTGTCCAGTTTCTTTTTGAATGTCTCTAGTGTGGGACATCCCACAACCAGCTGGTTCCACTGTCATATTGCTGACATTGAGGAAGCTTTTCCTGATGTCCAGCCTGAATCTGGGTTGAACTGATTATTCTGTGTCCTGATCTCTGGTATCAGCAAGAAGAGATCTTGACCTTCCTCTTTGTGACAGCCTTTCTGGTACTTATCGAATAATATCATGTTCTCCCTCAGCCTCCTTTTCTCAAGGCTGAACATGCCCAGTTCTCTCAGTCTAACCTCATAGGATAATGTTTCCAAACCTTGGATCATTTTTGTTGCCCTCTTCTGGACCCTTTCCAATTTTTTTGGCATCTTTCTTAACTGGATGCAATATTCCAGATGAGGTCTGACTAGTCAAGAGTATAGAGGAAGTACTACTATTCATAATTTGGAAGTAATACTATTAATGCAGCCAAAAATAGCATTTGCCCTTTTTGCAGCTGCATAGCATTGTTGGCTCATATTTAGCGTGTTGTCCAAAATAACTCCAAGGTCTCTTTCCTTCTTAGTTCTGTTGAGTCACCCTTGCATCTAGATTCTTTTTCCTAGGTGCAGGACTTGACCTTTGTCCCTACTGAATCTCATTCTGTTGCTTTCAGCCCAGCATTCAAGTCTATCAAGGTTGCCCTGGGTCGTCATTCTTTCTTCTAGCATGTTCGCTCTTCCAGCCAGTTTTGTATTGTCTGCAAGTCTGAGTATTGTTCCTTGTATTTCCTCATCTAAATAATTGATCAAGATGGTGAAGAGCACTGGGCCTAGGACTGAACCCTGTGGCACCACACTGGTTACCTCTCGCCAGTTTGACAATGCGCCATTGATGAGCACTCTTTGTGTCTGATTTAGCAGCCAATTTTGGATCCACCTAATAGTTTTTCTGTCTAGTCCTAATTTGCTAAGTTGGTATTTATTTATTTATTTATTTATCTATCTAGGATATTTCTAGCCCAGCCAATCACTTTCATCTCTGGACGGCTCACACCATATAATCCAGTTAGGACTGACACATGGACAACCGCACCTCCAGCAGAGAGTTGATGTCAAAGGCCCTCCTGTGACATTGTGAACTGTGCAGACGTTTCTGCCACATCTCAGAGGGAACCTAATTAGTGTGAAACATTCAGTTCACAGCTAGATTATGGATGTCTTTGTTTATATGCCCAGTCAGTCATACATTGCACCCCTGAGCAGCTGCTACGAATTGCTGTTTCAGTATGCCTCCCAGAAAAACCCCAGAAAATGAAACCATGTTTCACACCAAGGTAACAAGATTCTCCATTCAGCAGGAGAATGCCCACAAAGTGCTAAATGTACATCCCAATGAAATATTCATAGCTCCATTAGAAACCTAGTGGCACAAGTAATCAACAAGCCTCTGTGAGATACCACAGACTGACAGATACCTTGCTGCTTTTCTAGGGAAGCAGGTGGTAGACTTCTCATAGATTTCTCCTCTGCCTGTAATTGCTGTGTGTGTTCAGTACTGACAGACTCCCAACCAGTGGGACAGTGCAACCAGGACCTGCAGGGATGCAGCACCAGTACTCTTTTGATCAGTCGGAATACTGATATCTGCCGCTGCAAGTCACATTTCCCGTTCTCTCTGAGCTTGGCTGCAACACTCACAATAGCCGGTGCAGTGGCGGGGGGGGGGGGGGATGATTCTTCCCAGCAACAAGGTATTGTTCTCTGCTCTAATGCAAAGTATTTTGGAGTATCAAGATCTTGCTTTTGCTCAGGCATTACCACAAATAAAGATCAAATCAGTCAACCATTTGCTTGACCTGGGATATTCCAAGCACTATGGATGTATTCCATAACCATGTATAGCTAAGGGCCTAGTTACATGTTAGGTGCCATTCTGTGAAACTTTCCAAATAGAGTTTTTCTTCTCCCATGAAAACAAACACTGGGAGTGCTCAACATTTTCCTGACAGCTGTGCTTCCTTTCAAAAATGCCCTCCCAAACTGTTTTTCCCCTTCAATGTAAAAAGTTCCTAGTTCCTTATAGTTTTTACTGTAGGGAAAAGAACAACACCTGTAGATCAAAATGTTTAAAAGAAACAGCTAGCAGAGAAGGGGTTATGTAACTGTCACCACACATCCAGGGAGAGCTTTTGCAACTACCAACAGCTATGCCTCACTTTAGGCAGTCAGTAGAGGAAAAGTTGCATGCAAATACATGCAGCACCACAGTATGGCCCTAACACAAAGCACCATGACTTTGAATGCAAAAGGTATTCAAAAGGTCATTCAACACACACAATGCAATTGCCCAGTACTATACTGTCCAACATCCGTATCCCATCAAGCCCCATTCAAACATTTGCCTGAACTGGTGAGAGATTAAAGTGTGCACAGGGCTGGAGCCATGCCTCCGCCTTTGTTCAGACCTTGCCTTGTTGAATCAGCGAGGTCTAAAAGACAGGTCCGCTCATGCTTAGTTGGTTATGAGCAGAAGTCGCCATGGACTTGCTACCCGCTTAAAGTCCTCACTCGTTGACAGAAACATGCAAATACAGCTCTTGTCTCTATGGATATATGTCTGGTGAGTACTGTGTGGAGATAAGCGTCCTCCAGAATGCTACTCCAGTGTGCAATTCTGATCAGTGTGGATTCTGTATGTATGTACGGGGCAGAAACTGTACTAATGCTATTGAAAAGGATATACGCTTTTAACTATAAAGAAACCACACATTTCATTCCATCAGACAGCTGAGTTATAGCTGAACATGCTTCAAGTTTCTGGGAGGAACTGAGTGGCCTTACAAATTAGGAAAACTCAAAGCATATTGATTCGCCTTATGCATCAATTTCACGTCTTCTACTCGTTCTTTATGCAGAAGAGCGCTTGAGGCCATGGTACATGAATGGATTTGATATGGATCCCAGTCAATGTATGGGTGCTATTCCATTCATAGACCCCATCAAGTATAAGGAGGACCTAATTCAATGAACTTGTAAGACTTGGGAGCTATGTGAGTCTCTATTGTGGCTGATGGAAGGGAGATCTCGGCTATCTTAAAATATACTGTACTTGCTTGCTAGCCTTTTAAAGCATGGCTATTACTTATTTGTTTGTTTGTTTATGTGATGTTACTTCCTGTTGCAAAAAGCAGTCTCCAACACTTACCCACACAATATGGAAATCCATGATAAACATAACAGAGATCAATCATACACATAATCATCATACAAATAAAAATAAATACCATAAAACATATGCTAAAAATGATACAATAAAAATATTCTTCTACAAATACACAAACATTCCTCACCTCCCGACTGAATGAATGCCACAAAACAGCCCATAGCACTTGAGCCATAACTCCAAAGTTCTTTTTTGGAGAAGTAAGTCCTTTTTACCTGTACAGAATAGAAGGAAGTGTCAGTGCAGGTTGAGCTTCCTTAGGGGAATGCCTCCTGCACACAGGGCTGTCACTGAAAAGGCTTGTACCCAAACTGACACCCACTGAGCCTTTCTCAGAGGGGGCACGCAGAGAAGGGCCTCTAAGCTGATATCATGGACCCAGCAGATATGGGAGCAGTTTGGCTCTCCAACTATGTCAGGCTTCACTGGTTAAAATGAACACTTTGAATTTCACCAAGAAACAAACCAGCAACCAGCACAACTGAGCTTACATGTTCAGTCACCTAGTCCCAGCCAATTACCTGGCTAACAAATTCTGCACTGCCTGCAGTTTCTGAACCAATTTCTAAATGCAGTTCATTTTACAATGCATTGCAATAATCTAACCTAGAGGATATGAGAAGAAAGACCACTAATACAAAGCTGCCTCCATCCATACAGGGTCACTATCAGACTACCAGCCAAAGGTGGCAGAAGGCACTCCTTGTCACTGAGGCCACCTGAGCCATGAACACCTGCAAGCTGGACATCTGCTCCCTCAGGTGGAGCGGTGGGACCATCAAGACTCTATCCTGATATATTTTCCACACCAGGGATCCTTAGAAGAGGAAGTAACTGAAGTCCCAAGGAGTCATAGCACTGGATCAAAACTGCTTTTGAAACTTGAGGGGAAGGGAAAAAAGGAAACATCTTGAATGCGTGCATGCATTCATCCAGTAAATGGCTGTGCAGGTCATGGTCCATGAGAGGAAGTATAGTATAGTACCAAGGACTGAGGAACTCCAGCTTGAGATCCCCACATAGGCACACCATTCAGTGACGATGTAGCCCTATGGTCCCTGGGTGATATATTGGATCTGCCCTTCCAAGAGAAGAAAATGATGTCCTCTCTTGGAAGAGGAGTTCTGACCACCAATCCGACTTTTCATCCCCTTCCCCTCCTATAGGAGGAAGGGATTAGGAGACTTGTTTTCAGGGGAAAGACCATGCTCCCAAGCTGGCCAGTAAGCTACATCAGACCTGGAGCTAGCATAGATAATTTTCCTGCCTTGAAATGAATAGGAAGAAGGGGTGGGGGTGGGGGGGGAGACTCCAGGGAAGGAGAAAAAGAGAAATATTCACTGTAGATGTCTTGGAGGTCCCATGGCTTGTTCTGTGTGTGGCTTTGGCTAAATCATTTTTCTAATCATGAATGCATAAAATAATGTGACTGAATCACACAAGGATCTGAGGGATTCAACACTGTAAAAAGGGGAGGTAGGTTATATGAACAGTTTGTGTTTCTTGACTAAGAATGAAGATGTTAATTGGATTTTTTAAAAACAGTGCAAACTGAATCCAATAGTGCAATGTTCAATGGAAGGGCTATATCTGTGTTATTATAAAGCTTCTGGCCCTGATCCAGCTCCAGTCCCTTGATGAGATTCCAGGGGCTTCAAATGAATACTGCACAGGAGGAGATTGGGAGCACCCACAGGCCAGGGGTACAACACAGGCTGTGCCAGTTGGCTTTCGGCTCAGTTTCTGGCATCTCCAGTTAAAGGAGCATCAAGTTGCAGGGGATGCACAAAACTTGAGCCTGAAACACTGAAAGCTACTGAAGATCAGAACAGGCAATATTACACAATCAACAACACAGTGGGACTAGTTCACATCAGATATGGCCTCTACAGGCAGGCATGCTGATTCTTCTTCACACTCAAAACAACTTCCATCTGGAACAAGCAGAGTACTACAGATGATATTAAACTGAAGAAAAAATGGCTTCTCATTTGCAGAGGGGTAGGGTAGAATTAATATTCCTAAATTCTAACCAGTTTAGAAACTGGCTGGTTCATCTGCACTTTAAAAAAACTTCTAATCCCTCTAATTTTAATTTTTTTAAAATTTCACACACACACATATATGTAGATCTTAAACATAATCTGTGCTCCTGTGTGTGAGTGTGTATCCCTCCAAGTTGGAAGTATTATTTTCTTAACAGAATTCCACAGTCTTTGGGTTACACAGATAATTTATCAACAGCATTAAATTACAAAATCCAGGGAAAGTGTTTTGAGTTTCTCTCAGTTCCCCCAAAAATAAATTCTTGCCCACAAAGAGATGCAAAATTACTAGCAACCAAATATGTCCTTACAAAATGACAGTGGTTGCAAGTAAACAGATCTGACCTTGCTCTGACTTTTGCTCACCTCAGGAGAAATAATATTCCATGCATGGAAAGAGGACACAGGAGTCTTTCTGTGTACACTCATGATGTGGACTCTGCCCAGGAAAAGCATAATCAAACACTGATGACCTCCACTTCCTCCAGCAATTATAACATTTCTGAGATCAACAGCAGACTAATCTGTCTGGTACCACAATCTATAGATGGCACCATCCCTTGTACATATGGGAGTTCTTTCATGCTCCAAACAAGCAGGATCAGCATGTATTCCACAGTTGCAGTAATTCCAACTCTCTCCTGAGAAGAGGCATCTCGTCTATGAAGTACCTCCTGTTCGTACTTCCAGATCTCAGTATCCCCAGTGATGTTGGCACAAAATCACGATGTACCACAAGGATTATCATAAGACAAAGGAGAGAGAGAGAAAAAATCTTGCCTCCATTCTGCTCTTAGTTATGCCACAGTGAGTTCAGCCATTTGAGAGTGATGGCTTAACTTGAACTCCTGAACTGAGCAAGGAATTGGACCCAACGGCCCTCTGGCCCAACTCTACCATTCTATGATTCAGAATGGAAGAGACCCTACATTCCAAACAGCAAAATGGGTCCATATGTATTTATAAGTTGTCAGGCATCCCCTGCTTTACACAATAAAGAGAATGTAATATTTTCAGAAGCTCCGAGTTCAGGTGTGTCTTTCTTTATGATATGACCCCAACCTTAACAGACACTTGATTTTGGAAAGAGCTGAGGAGCTACACTCTTGCAAGGAATCAATTTGCCTATGACTATACCTCTTACAAAGTTTAGCTTGCTTTTCTAATTCCTTGATCACTAACATCTGCAAACTTATTTATAAAGCACTGGATTAGGTGAGTAAACTGGTATTATTTTTGTGTCAACTACCTATGTTGAAAGACGCTGCAAATCTTAAAATAAAATTAAATGAAGTCACATGTTAAAACCTTCCTTCCTACTACAATTGATTGAGGAATTAACAGGTAGAGTACTTTATAACATAATAAAGAGGCTCAAAATTATGTTTCAGGACTGTTAAACAAAGCATATGACCCAGTTTCATCAAAGTAAGGTCCCAAACTCCAAGACTAACTTATAACCTGACATCATAAAGGGGTTTTTTTTGGGGGGGGGGGGTTGGCGGGGGAGGAATTCAGTTCCTTTAAGTTATATCACTACACATGCAAGCAAACCAGGGCATAATAATGGTAAATGCTACCTGACCGAGAATCTCTGTCATGATCACAGCAAAACAAACAACTTAATATGCTACAGTATACTTTAATTCATCAGTTAACTGAGCCACAAATCTCTTAATACAAGCTTAAGCAAATCACCACATGCCCCTGTTGCTCTAAGTGCACATCCTTTTGTCACCAGCTCTGAGCTTCATCGTTTTACCTGACCTGCATTTTACTGTATTACTGGCTGCGAGACATGATGCCAAGAGTTCAGTTTAGCTATTTTTTCATCTGTAATGGATTTCTCTTGGTAACTTCCCTTAACTCAAACACCTGCTAAAATATCTGAGATCTATTTATATTGTGCAAATGAAACACTTTTGTGTGACAGCCATGAAAACAAGAATGCTTACAGGTTGGGTTGCTTATTTTCTGGTAAAACTGTAGCAGTACCAGACGTTCATATAACACGTTTCCTTTCTTCTTTTCCCTAACATCATCAGCTGTGTTCCTGGGTATACGCTTTACACCTACGCTATTTTATCTATATCTCTGCCATTAACACTTCTAAAGGAAGGTGAAGTCATAAAAGCAAAGAGAAATGCAACAGGGCCTCGCCTTTTTTCAGAGCCTTTAAGCTTTATAATGCAAAACCATACGAAAGAGCGCCCATTTAATCTACAGCACGATTTCTCAAGAGAAGTCCCATTGGTAGGCATAATCCAGCTTTTCACTTATACGGAGCATCCAGTGCATTTTAAATGCTGACACGATGTGTTTCTCTATGAATTCTGTATTTTTGAACAGAAAGAACACTAACCGTCCTCCCCTTTAAAGAGAAGATGCAACGGATTTTTATACTGCCCCATTCATACACATCTAAACCGTTCGTTCAGCTACCCTAGGCGTTTACACACATTCACAAAATCACTGACCTCCTCTCCATTCTTCCAAATATTGGATCCACAGGCGCTGAAAATCCTACACAGAAAAAGAGGAGTAAAAGCCTAAAGGTGCTGTTGCTTTCCATTGAGCGATGAGTCGGTCCCTCCAGAGCCACCACTTCTGTTCATGTGTGGCAGAGAAACCTGAACGAGTGTTCCCAGGGGCCATGTGACAGAGAGCAGCGCCAGCCAATAGGAAGCAACGCTGGAAACCACATGAGCTGCCATGTACTCTCAATCCATAATAAAAGGATGGACTGGGCTCTTCTTCTCTCCTGAATGCAGCCAACTTCCCTTTCTGATTCACAGTTCATGTCAAGGGAGGATCAGATGCAACTGGATACATGAGGAAACAGGGCTGATCCAAGAAGTGTCTTTCGACAGGAGCATTTTAATTTCAGCACCCCTCAACTAAGGTTGCAATCCTTTCTACATTGTTTGGGAACATCAAATATAGTGCACCAAAACCCTACACACGTGTATTTAGGATTATGCTGTAAATGTAGATTCCTAATGTGTTTAGGACTTAGGATGTGAACACAACTCCAAGTGTCTGTATCAAGCAAAACAAAACCCTGACATTATTCCCTTGGCTTGTGTGGAGCACATTGGCTGTACAGTATTTAGTCCAAAACCTACAGTGAACTTTTATTTTGAATACACGTGCATAGGAGCATAATTCAAGAGCCATTTACAGTCCCTGACCCGTTTTACAAATACAACATGTTTTCCTGTAAACTCCTTGCACATGCATATGCTTCTTCCACTACACACTCAGCACTTATTTTAGAAGTGTGCTTTAACTGGGCCATTACTCATTGGCTTCACCACACTGCAGTGCCTCCAAACTACCTATTAGTCATCCTAATCCTTTGCATCCTTAAGTGGGTTGGATCCAGAATACCCTTCCACTAGAATTAAAACATCCGTGTATATTGAAGGGCTCCTGAGTAATCTAGGGGAGGCCAGCATATAACTTTGTGCAACCCCCTTCACAAGAACTCTTAATGGCCTGCTAGAGTACAGAACCTCAGACTCAGGCCACCATCAATCCCTTCCAGGGTGCCCAAAATGCCCTTAGACCTCTTCTTCTACCTGCCAATTAATTACTGGGTCATCTTTCAGCTTTTGTCTGCACTTTTTCCCCATTCTGAAATGTTGAAATGCCTTCCCTAAGGCTTAGTTACTGATTGAAAGAACTGTAAGCTAAAACAAGTTTGTATGTGGCCCCACCTCTTTTGTCCCAAGCCCCAACCACCACTGGAATGTGGCCCTCAACACTACTGGTTTCCATGTGATGGCCTGTCTCTTCCTTGTTCACTGTGATCAGTATTTTGCAATGCAACCACAATAGTTTGTGGTGTTGTGCTTCTAGAAGTCTTCCACTTGTGTTGTGTGAAGGTGCATGGAGGGGCTCCTGTACTTCTCTCTGCCTGTTCCCATTTTTTGGATGCAAGCTCTTGAATGAAAAAAGAAGCAACCAGGAAAGTGACCTACTTATACCACCCCAAAGAGAATGGAGTGCTGTGGTCTACCAAAACAACAACAAAAAGTGTCTCGAGGCACATACACACACCTGCTCTAGCCGCAGCAGCTTTCTTCCTCCACAGTCCATGGCAGATCTGCGATCATACCCCAAGAGACCACCTAAATCACTCACCAGAGAAAGAAACTGCAAGTTGGACTAATGTAACGCATTGTAAATAGGCCTACCTTTGAAGATGATGCCCTGACAGAAGTGGTGTAATGATCAAAGACTCCAATTATCGGGAATGTGTGGGATGCCCCTTTAAAAAATGGTCTCCTCCATCTTCTTCACACCAGAGGACAAGGCCGTCTTAATGCTTGGGCCTGATGGGCACTTCCCCGTGGGCCCCATACTAATCTGTGTATGTTCACCCTTGGAAAATTGGAAAACTTCAAAAATTAACAGTAGTTGCAGTTGTCGTAGGGGCCCCAGTACACTGCTTTGCCCAGGGCCCATAATGCTGTTAAGACGGCCCTGCCTCAGTAGGCACCCAGAAAGGTGTCTGAGGCCACACCAATGTCCATAAGTGCCATGAGCATGGTACCTGTGCCATACATTTCTGTCCTCTCAGTCCTTCACTCCTCACTGACAGAATGCAAAATCCAAAGCCGAAAAGCGCAATCCACTGGGCAAATAAATCCTTCCATGCAACTATGCGTGGTTTGAGAATGAGTGAAAACCAGAAGCAATTGGATGGCTCCCACTTCAAACTCAGAGGTTTATGTGCATCTAATGCACAGGGCAAAGTGAGTGGGGCAGTTCCTGCTGTCACTGGAGCTCACTGTAAAGCACTGCATTTCCTTCAGATGGCTATTTTTGACCATCTAGATTTAGTGTCAGGGGAGGGGAGGCCATGGTGCAGATAGGAAGAGGTGCAAGGCAATGGCCTCAGCCTCCTCTCCCCCTTGTAGCCCGGGCACACAGTTTCTGTTCTCTTTCAGTTTCTCAGAGGGGCAGCCAGTAGAGTTCTTTCTGCGCAGGCTATGAGAGGGGCAGGGCAGGGTCTGGGTCTTTGGGGCAGCAGCTCCAAGGACCTGGGACCTCAGAGTTGGCACTCGAGAAACTCCTATGCCCTCCAGACAACCTTGGAAGACTACAGGATTGCACCCTTAATGACGTGCATATTCATTTTGATTACTGAATGTGGGCAAAAGAATATGATTCTTTTGGGCACAAATGCGCCACCATGGATACATGCTGGGTTGCTAACCAGCTAGCTAATGTTGCATACCTACCAATGTGATCATGTAAAGAAATGACCGATTAAGGAGGCCAGTCAAATGCAACCTAGATATAAGATTAAGCATGGGGTTTAGCATCTGCAGCCATTAAGCTTTGGGATTTACTATCTTTAATTAATTTTTTCCTTGAGTGATACAGAGAGTATATGATAATCTCCAAATCCTTCCCTAGCCTGTATCCAACCATGAAAACTCTTTGTTTGGTGAGGAACTAAAATACTAGTTTTATAATGAAATCCTAGACTGACAAAATAAAGGTAATCATTTGAGTGGCTCACACGTGTAGGCAGAAAGCACACCTTTTATAAGAGAAGGCTAAATAAAACATTTCTTTGCAGCAATTTGGGCTTTTTCCAGACAAGCCTTTACTTATACAGTCATGATGGCCTCAATCAAGGGCCAGGCAGGGGAGACTTGTTGCCTTCCATTTCTAACCATGTTTTCCTACTGCTTCTTCTATCTTCTTTTTCTTCCTTAGAGCAGAAAAACTACAAATAGGGAAAGACATCAGAGTTGCATAATATTTTTGCTCTGACCATGCTAAGAGCTAATCATTTGGAAAATCAGAAAGCTTGCAGGTGATGGGGCTAGACTACAAGGAGGGGCTGAAATATTTCCACTCAACCTAGGGATAGGGAACAGCTAGAGAAATGCCTCTTTGCATAGGAAGGAGTCACTCACAGCACATTAATTCAAATTAGCTTCCATCTAGTCCTTTGTCCACACTTCACCTCTATGGGTTTTCCCAGGAGCTATTTTTCTTGCCATAGAAATCCATTCAGGAATTTAAAAAAAAAAACCATGCTTGAAAGTGGTACTAAGAACCCTCCATCTGGAAGCACCCTCTAATGCAGGGCCTCAGGTGCTTGGTAAAGCTGGGTTTTTATTTTTCTAGCACAACTCCTCCAGAGAACATTTAGAAGACAAAGCATTCATATTGGTGTGATTTATTGAGAGAATAGTTCAAATTACATTGACCTAGAATACAAAACAGGATAAGTGTTGGGTTGTGAGAACAGCATTTATGTCTCCCTCCATCCCAACAGGAGAAAACAGACCCTGTATAGGGGCTGCCTTTGTTACCACTCATGCATTCCAAGTTGGAATCTGCAACTGGAAACAGGCTCAAGGGCAAACCTGATGAGCTGTCCCTCTAGGTATTCCCCATCTACAAAACTTGCTGGGACCATGAATGAGAAATGAAAGTATTTCTAAGTAAAATATCCCTTCTGCACATGAGTGCTTCAGTGCTCAAAGATGCAGGCTTGCAAGTTTTATTCTTATCTTTTGGCAATTTCCTGCATATACATTGCTCTTTTTGACATTTCCACATGAGCTTCCTTCTTTGCCAAAGGTAAAACCTCAGGTGGAGAGTTGGGGGGAAGAAAAATTTCTAACCAAAAAAAACAAAAACAAAACAGAAGTAGGCAAGCAATATCTAAATGTCAGCAGCAGCTAAGGGGAAAATGTACTATACCTTGATTTTTCTACAACCAAATATATTTAGAAAATGCATTTGATTTTAAAGTGCAAAACGCATGTCGATTTTATTCCAGAATGCTCATCAGAAATGCCATCCTTCTGGACACAATCATCAATCCAGCTATTTTTTATAGCCTCCTTGAAATCCCAATAAAGGCAATGTGGACTACACTGTAGTAAGCAGTTTAGAAACTGCTGCCCTTGCATTTCTTCACTTGCAAGCATTATGCAGAAAAATGAGATACAGTGCATCCATCCAATCAAAGAAGAACTTAAGCTATGCTTTTGCCACTGCCACTGTGAACTTGACGAAGTACATCAGTACAGAGCTTTCCTGTAGTTGTAAATTTTGAAGTGCCAACACACAACATGAGAGTTCCCATAGCCACACCTGCAAGGAGAGGCCAAGGTTGGAGGAAGTTGTGTTCATCCGTATCAGCACACCAGTTCTAGGAGATCTTTATCTCTACCAAGGGCAGAGCTTTTGCAAAGGTTATCACACATTCAAAAGCAAACCACCCCAAAACACTTTTTCTTATTTTTGCATTTATATGCTGCCTACTCCTAATGGAGTTTCTAGAGGAAAATATATTGTTGCTGGGAAAATTCATTTCTCTCCAGCTTCTGCAAGAATTGCAGCTAATCTCATAGGGAACAGGGAAATCTGGAGTAGGTAGCAGAATGGCTCCCTGCTAATAGAAATGTACAGGTGCTACATCAGTGTTTTTGCCACACCATAGAATAGTACAGCCCTAAGGACTAGGCAGCCAACCATGCCTGTCAGGTGCTAGAGGGTCCTGTGGAAGTAAATTAGCTTAAAGATGATCAAGAAGCAAAATATAACCAAAGCCAATAATCTCTCAATGAACTCTAAAGATTAAGTTGCGGGGCAGGGGGAAGCATTTTTTACTGTTACAGTTAGTACTTTGAAATCCCCAGACATAAGAACAGTAAAAGTTGCCACATGGTCACAGTTTGTGATATCAAGTTCCTCCTTTCTTCTTTGTGTTCCAAACAGAGACCAGATGTAACCAGTGTGACCTAAAGAAAGCTGCTCCTTGCTAACTCGGTTGGCACTCTGTGATGCTGGCAAGCTGCTCAAGGACCATTCTTCACAATATTGCAGCATGAATAAAGTCTTTGGATTTCAAAGTTACAAACTTTGAATTGGATTGTTGGATTGTAACTTTCTCTTCCTTGGAGTTTCTTCAATTTAAAGCTTTTTCCTTCCAGTCTCCGATGATACCAGTTACTCTACAATGGCTTTGAGCATTTCCTGAATGTCTCATGGGGATAAAGATGCTTCAATTTATTGATCTTGGTGTAGCTCAATAGGTAATGTACCACTGGACATAGCTTCTGGGGGTGGGGAATGGCATCCCTTTCTGAGAACTGAGATGCTCTGCTAGCCTGGAGTTGGGCTGCTTTCCTTCTGTGTAGCCAGGCCTAGGTATCTGCCCCAGTATTGATGCCACCATTTAACTTCAAGCTGGACTGTTTCTTTCAGTTATGGCAGAAAACAGTAGGAATAACGCTCCATGTAGTCTTGCATTCTGTTTCCCGTAGTGGCCAATAAAGAGCCTCTGGGAAGCTCAAAAGCAGGGCAAGAAGGCAACTGTCCTTCTTGGGTTTCCCAAAAGCACTGTCGCTATCTCAGAAATGGATTTCCTGTGACATTCTGCCTCCGAGCTTGGATATACACCTATTATGGAAGGTGAGAGCATGGTGGCTTGCTGATCTTGTGTTTCTGGTCAAGTAGTTCATAGTAGTTATTAGCAAGAATTCTACACTTACCTGCTGCCCTGGTCTAATATAACTACCGGTTCAGAATCTTTTACTCATTCCATGGGAGGGAGAACAGCTTGCAAAGGTGCAACTAAGTGAACAACCTATCCTCCAACCTGCCTAGATGCCCTTGTGTCCTCTCTGAGTGGCCTCTTTGTAACATGTTCCATTTCTTTGGTTGTTCCCTGCTCTTCCCCCATGCATAGATTTGCGGACCTACTCCTGCATTGGCATGAGAATTCAGAGTGAAGACAGTGGGGCTGTGTGCTAAGCAATGTCTTCTAGTTTGTGAGGTTTAGTTTCTGCCACATTAGTGTACAGAGCAAAATATTTGTGACATTTTCCCACACGGGGTTGACCATTAGAATTCAACTTGACTTCCAAGTTAAGATTTGGAGTGTGGTGCTGTATACATGCAAGGCAGGAACTTAAACATGACTTTGTAGATAAACACATGCCCAGCACCTCTCCTATACAATGTCCTGTTCCTGCCTCCTTAATCTCTGTCTGAAAGGTTCTGCAATTGTGGACTAGTGGATGGCGCAGAACTTCAGCCTGCACCAGCATAGTGTATCACTTAGGGAGCCTTCTTGGCAGTTCAGGCACCCCTTAGCATTAGATAGGACTGGGGCATCAAAATATTTAATGCTGGTTAAACGATATTCAATAAATTGTGCAAGATGTCACCAAGAATTCAAAAGAGTAGATTTGAAGAATACCCTCACTGCATTGTTCCTCTGAAACAGCAGCATACCCAAATTAATTACCCAGCAGAGCCATACTATGGTCCTCAGACGTGTGTCTCAGGAACCATATAAGACAGTTCAAATTCTCAACTGGACCCTCAAAAGCAGGCCGGTGGGGTAAGACATCTGACCCTCCACCTCACTGCCAGACACTCAGGCGGTGTTGCAGTGTGCAGGAAAGGAAGCAGACTAGAAAGGCCAGGATGCAGTTTGATCTTCCTTCCCATCTCCTCTGAAGCACCCCCACTAGGCAGGTACAAAAGACCATCTAGCAAAAAATCAAAGACCGAAGAATGGGGAGAAGCAAGTATTGCCTCTGCTGGTATTGCCTGTTAGTTTCAGTCTGGCAGGGCACATGACTCAAGTGTGGACACTGCCAAGTGGTGAAGGCAAAATCAAGAGGTCCGCCCCAGGTAAAACCACTGCAGTTAGGTTGGGCTCATTTACATGTAAGGGTTCCCTGCCAGCAAACATGCACTGTAGATGGAACAAATTCCCCCTGCAGTTCTCCACATGTCCCCAAGTCTACTATGGATGGAGATGCTCTGAAACACATTTATGAGGGTCCACAGGAGAAGGCTAGTCCCATTGTACAAGGAGTCCATTTGCTCAAATGCTGGATACTACTCATTGTTTTAACCGGTATTTTACAAGGAAATATTCACAAAAGAGTTAGAACATGTTTTAAAGGTTGTTTTATGATTATTGACACGGATCAAACATATCTCTGTTTACTCAAAAGTTCATTCTGCTGATTTCAATAGTACTCATTTTTTAATTAGGAATGTACAGTGTTAGTAGAATTAGTAATTGTAGCATTAAACTAATCCACAAATAAAAACATTAAGGTGTTGTATTTTAAGTCCATAGCTTAAAATCTTTTATCTAAAACTATATAGGAATAAAATCGAACATAAGCTCTACTTAGACTTATTGAAATGAATGGGATGTGAATTAGCTAAGCTCCATTCATTTCAATGGGTCTATTCTAAACAAGACACCTGAGATTTCACCAACCAATCTTATTTTGACTCATTATTTCTTTAAAAATAACATATGCACTCCTTTTATTCAGCAAACTGAAGAGTGTTAAGGTTAAAGTTTGTCTAAGTTTCAGTCATATTGATGTATAAAAGAAAATGACATGGTACTGCATGAATAATAAACTTCAGTTACTTTTAAAATATTATTTATATTTACAGGATAATTTATACCAGATTTTCCTTGGTTCTGAAAAAAATTAAAAAATGTTGCCATTGAGGCTGCCATCAAGTGCATGCACAGTAGAAGGAAACCCCTGTGACCTTCACAGAAACCTCTCCTGACTAAACAAGCTTTGAATCATCTGTAAGAACAGTCAAGAGTAATGGAAAAGCTACCTACCCCATCATGCTCTAAGAGTGTTTTGCTACAAAAGCCCCTTCCATCTTATGTAAAATTACACTACTAAGAAAAACTTCACAGAAGAACCTTGTTAAATGAAAATGTTTATTAAACTGATCACATAATTATGATCTGGGTCTTTCCTTCTTGCCTTTGTACAATGCTAACAGAGAAACATTGGCTACTTTAACAACTTTGAAGCGAACTCCTGGAATGTCACCAACAGCATGACCCTTCCGACCAAAACCAGCAACCAAGACTTCATCATTTTCCTACAAGAAAAAAATAAACATTTATAATATATACACTTACATAGGTTTTTAAAGCTACCAAAAACATTAATAAAGCAGTTTGGTTCAATCAAACCATTCTCCATTTTAGTTAGGGTCCATGTTATATTACAACTGGTTCAAGTCCTGTTAGATTCTGTCCTAGTATTTGTAGGTTTCCTCAGGCTCAGCCCAGACTTTCAAGGCAAGTCAAGCCAAAAGGAGGTCCACAAAAGCTCAGAGCCCCAGCAGAACACCTGGCAACCTTCTTCCATGTCAGAGGGGCAGTGCTAGCATGGCAGTCATGGGGGGAGAGGGGGGCTGCTTTCCTGGCAAACCCCCTGCTGCACCTGGCACACACGGTGCTCAATCTCTGTGAGTGCTGAACAAATGCTGGGCATGCTCACCAAGAACTTGAACTCAGCCACCACAAAGTGGAGCAGAGCCTGGGGAGCCAAACCCAAGAAAATGAGCAGATTCCCATCCCTGAAGGGATTCCAAACAGATCCCCACATTGTATCTGTCAAGAGCATTTCATTACTTCCCAAATGATTTACCTCAATGAAGTTCAAACAACCATCATTGGGAACAAAGGCTGTTATTTTCTTGCCATTCTTGATAAGCTGGACTCGGACACACTTCCTGATGGCAGAATTTGGCTGCTTAGCTTCTACGCCACTGTAACATGTGCAAAATGGATACTGTTAATAAGAAATGTATCTAAACTACATTTCCACAATTACACTTCAAGTAATTGCTATTGATTTTACCATCAATCTCTTTACTGACGTGAGGCAAAGTGACAAGTGACAGTAAGAAATGCCAACATTAAACCAATCACACATTTTTCCTCTCTAATAAAAATGCTATTAAACTTTCACACCATTCATAAGTTTGTCAAGTTTACAGACATTCCTAGTCGAATTGAATTCAGTAAAAAAAATTTCCAAGTCTATGCAGAACTGAATCCTTATTTTCACATAAACTTTGACCTTGAATATACATTAGACTGCAATCTTATACCACTCACCTGGTAGAATACCCCACTGAACTCTTTGGGCCTTACTTCTACTTAGTCAGAAGACAAAACAATAATTAAGTCTAATGTACTGAAATGCAAAATGAAAAATGAAACAGGTTAAGATTTGGCTTGGTAGAAAGTATGCTGATTCTTATGGGAACATTATACAAAAATAGTTTCTTTTTTTATCATTAGGAACAGCTTCAAGCTAGCTCAGCATCACTGTTTACCTTTTCTTTAAAAAACAAAGTTTAAAAAATCTACATAGGTTACATGTGAAATGAAAATATAAATGGACTATTCCAACTGTTATTACTGAGATATATTTCCTAGCAATATGACTACACAATGCTGAAAGTTACTAAGAGCAAGCAATAAATTGCCAAAACTGAGATGTCTAAAACAGGGCACATGTTAACAATGCTCCTCTGTCCCACAGGACAGTTGTACTAAACTAATTATGTTATCAGTTCTACTATAAAGGAGCAAAAAATTATTTGCAGAATGTAACATTTTACAAAGTATTAGATTTTACAAGAAATATGCCAATCAAAATCAAGCTCCTGGGAATTCCTGATCAAACTCACACTTTTTCCAGGACAATTCCTTTGGCATGAGAAGCTCCCCCAAAAGGGTTGGCCTTCAAGGCAGTCCCCAGATGGGCCTTCTTGTACTGTTTATCATGCCACTTCTGATCACGTCGGTGACTGCGCAGCTTCCTGGCTGTGCGAAGCCCACGGCACTTGCCTTGAAAACACAACAAAGAAGGAACATTTTAGAAATCAATTTATCCTACTTTTTATTTAATGTATCCTACTTCAGCTGGCACTAGCGTTGGTCCAAATGCTTTTCAAAACTCACTGTTGGCTAATATTGTGGGTGAGCTCTTACTATACTTGAGTTCTACAAAATATTACATTACATTTATTTGCAGTTCAGACAAAAGATTACATTCTATTATGTCAGGTAAAATCCAATATAAAAACTGTGAGCAAAAAGCAGATTTTTTTGTTTTTATTATTTAAAAGCTCCTAAAATAAACAAAAAGGGAAGAGGGAGATCATTCTATTTGTTGTCATTAAGAGTCACTTTTAGATATATAGTATGCATTCTTCATCGTCTTAAGTGTGTATAGAAAAAAGGGGGTGGTAACAATAGCAACGTTTGAAATAAAAGAGAAAAAGACAGACCACAGAGAAAATTAGCGTGACTTTCAGAGAACTACCAGTTGCATCAAAGAACAGTGTCCCCTAGCATATCACAAATAAACGCATTTATTCCGGAGTTTCCGTGGACTATGGGGATAGTGAAACTCACGTCGGCCAGGAGACACGTGGAAGCAACCCAGCACCACCTCCCAGCTGAGCCCGATCAGCTGGATATGGAGAACCTCCCAAGCCACCAACCCGTAAATAAGAAAAGATCTGCTGTGTATCTCCGATCTGCGTCCGCCCCCCATCCCCGAAAAAAAATCGCGGGCTCCGCTCACCCATCGCACCGCAGCTAACCGGGCCAAAAACTACCAAAAAGAAAGACCCACAACCCCTAGCGCAGGATGAAACTTCAAAGAAGACCCTACGTAGGTCGTCTAAGTTTCGCGCCTGGCGCGCCAGATTTCCTGTAATATTTCATCGAGGTGGGAAAAAAATCCGTGGGTTAAGCAAAATTATCCATCCCACCCCAAGGTATAACATTGTGATAGCCTTCTGGACATGTCAGGGAAATTCTACAAAGAAAGGAGGAAAAAGTAGTTTCCGGTTTTAAATCGAAAGTCGCCATATTGGCCTAAGTACGCTCTAGTCATGCTATTTTCTTGTGGAAAGACACGGCACAAGTTGCGACGCACAAGCTGTGGTATATTGATACCGGAACTGTGATAAGGACTGGCTGGGTTTCAAAGTCTAGCTGTATGGTAAAATTGCAGTCCATTGCTTAGGAATTTCTGGTGCCTGTGGATGGATGGGACATAAGAGGCTTCCTTTCCTAGTCCCATCGTTTGCCCAGCGCGATTCTTTTTCGAGCAGGCAATAGGAGAGACAGCCTGGTCTGCCTGAAAGAGGTCCTTGCAAGGCGGACTCAGTGCCGCGGTGGCTTGTGGGTCTCTCTCTTTCCTTCTCGGGATCCGCCGGCTGCACGATGGGTGAGCGGCTGTGGCGAGGCCCCTTGGGGTTGGAGGGGGCGAGCGGGAGGGTGGAGAAGGACGGGCAGCCGGGGCCTGGGAGGTGGAAAAGACGGGCCCCTGCGCCTCCCGCTCTCTCAGAGAGGCCATCGCTGGTCCTCTGAGAAGCTGGCCACGCGGCCCTTGCGGAGGAGCCACCCGGAGACAGGCCTGCTTTCGCACTGCCTGCGCCGTGCCGAATGGGCAAGTTGTGGCGTACGACTCCGGCAGCGTAGCCAGCATGGTCGATGGGAAGGAGTGTAGGGAGTTGAAACCAGAACATCTGGGGGTCCACACGCTGCCCACCCATGGCGTGGGCGTTATTAATCCTGAACTCAGCCACAAGGTGGGACATGGGGCTGGAGTGTAGGCAGCTTTTAAAATATTGATTGACTATGGCTGCCAGTCTGTGGACATGGAGGCTGGTACTGAACCCCAGTGGTTAAGAAACAAGAGTGAAGGAAAACGAGTAATGTTTGGCCCGGGTTGTGAGCTTTTAAAAAGCATGTGGTTGGCCTTTGCAGCAAAATGCTTGGACGCCTTTCAATGGAGCCAAGCTCAGGGATCCAAGGTTCAATTCGGATGCGAGGAAGTATTTCCTGACAGTTAAGACCCCTAGAGCATGGAATGGGCTTTCATGGGAGATGGCTGAAGCCCCATTGATGAGGGTGTGCAAGGCTAGGCTCTACATGCACATGGTAGGCATGTCATGAGCCGAGCCGGCTGGAGCCAGGAATCAGACTAGATGGCCCAGGAGGCCCCGTCTGACTCGCTTTGTTTTTAAGGTGTAAGAGAGATTCATTTCCTTGCCACAGTCCTGGGTCATTCACAACAATTACAAAAGATGCATGTACAAAATAACATGCAAAATGTAAAAAGTAATTATAAATGTCTAGTTTTCAGAGTATTGCGGTCTGATAAAATAGTTGAAATAACTGCTGTTGAAGGCCAGGGAATACAGAAAAGTGTTAACTTGGTGCCACAGAGAGGACAGTGTTGTCCCCACAGCATTCATACAGCTGTAAATGCAAAGATTATTGGAACTAATTGAAATTACATACACAATTTAAAATTAAATTCTATGCCACCCAAAAAGCAAAGCTTTCTGGGCAGTTTCATAAAATATTCATAAAATATAACAAAATACAATATAAAGTACAAAAATGTGTCACCATAAAATTTTACTAGGAAAATTAAACATAAATTTAGAATTGAATTGAATTAAAACAATATATGATGTTATCACAGATATTTGAGAATAGAAATTATGCAAATAATGACTTCCAAACAAAAAGAAGCCTGTACAAGATATTAATGTTTAGTGTATAGTGATATGTCTCATCCCAGAATATTTCTCCATTTTCCCTTTTTTCTTTCCTTTTTCTTCATTTTTCATTTGTTTCATTTGTTTTACTTTTTGCTTTATTATAATTTTGTTGTACATAATTTTAAATTTTCTTCAGTGTTATTTGGAAAAATATTGAACAGGTTTTTTTGGCAATCTGAGAAATGCAGTTTACAGTAATGTTTTGTACATGTATATATGTTATGTATGAAAACTAGTGTATCAGAACTGTTTAATTGGTCTGATAAGCATTCCATTTGTTACTGCCTGGTGCATGTTAATATAGATTAACAATTGAAGCTTAGTTTTAGGTTACTGCCAATACATTTTGTAGGAAGACTAAGGAAGTATCTGAACCTTTGAATTAGGAACTCAAGATTCCAGATTTGGTTGCTGGAATGATATTGTGGTCAGAGTATATTAAGATATTTATCTACTTTTCATGGGTCACTTGTCGAATCTTGATTTCATACTTCTTTGGCCTTTCTTCCTGGAATTTCTTAAATTGAGGATATATTGGGGAATAAACAAGCCAGTTTGGAAGGCCGTACACATATATAGATTGTGAGGGACAAGCAGTAGTAGGAGAAAGAAGTGTGCATCCTTCTTTAGTAGGGCATAGTAGAACATTTATGGTTGGTAAGACTTTCACAGAAATTGATGCTTTTAGGTTTTACTGGCTGCTATCAGCGTTATGACTTTGTCAAAAAGCAGCAGAAATTCTTGCCTTAGGAGGTACTATATGAATTTACAGTGCGATTCAGACCAAAGATTGGTATTGTGAATATGTTTATGATGCATATGGGTTAGCCGTGCTTTGGTTAAGTTGATAATTATTTTTTCTTAGCGGTTCTTTCTGTTACAATATTGAATGTATCCCTTTATAGGTAAGTGCCGTGGGCTTCGCACAGCCAGGAAGCTGCGCAGTCACCGACGTGATCAGAAGTGGCATGATAAACAGTACAAGAAGGCCCATCTGGGGACTGCCTTGAAGGCCAACCCTTTTGGGGGAGCTTCCCATGCCAAAGGAATTGTCCTGGAAAAAGTGTGAGTTTGATCAGGAATTCCCAAGAGCTTGATTTTGACTGGCCCATTTCCTGTAAAGAGAGTTATACCACTGTGTGACAGAGAAGAATTTTCAGCTTGTGCCATATTGGAAATTTTACTAATTAATGCTTTTTAGGAATTTTCAACATTGAGGAGTCTAGTACAATTTTGTCTTTTCTAATTTAACAGTATTTATTAATGCTAAAAAGTGAGCAAAACATCTATTCCAGAAAACTAGGTAGCTTGAAATGTTGCTATTTTGGATTCTCTGTTGAAGATCTGTCACTCATTTGCCTGTAATGACAATCTGAGTTATTGGGCCACATGGGAGCAATTAAACGTAGTCCCCTGCTGTGCAATTCTTTCTGTGGTTTTTGGCCAGAAGTGCATCCTTGAACTCTGGGTGATTAAGGGGGAACAACTCACAGTTTTAATCCATGGTTAGTGGTTGGGTTAAAACACTGTTGTTTCTGCCTGAAGAACCCTGAGTTCATATATAGGGCAGCGAAAATATTGTTATTTTCTAAATTAGTTACAAAGTGGAAGCAGCAAGTGATAATTAACCTATGGTTGGACATTACATGCAAACCTGTTTCATATGCTAGAAGATTTTTCACAGCTGTTTGTCCCTCGGGCTCAATTACCTAGGGGTTTTTTTTGTTGGCAGTATTGGTAACTGTTTTTCATATAATTTAGTTATTTAAAAACTTAGAAATTAGGAAGCTGCCATATACTGAGTAACGCCATTTGTCTGTCTAGCCCAGTATTGTCAATAGTGATTAGCAGTAGTCCTCCAGGGTTCAGGCAGGAGTTTTCCCAGCCTTGTCTAGAGAAGAGGGGGTTGAATTCGGCATGTGCTGTATCCTCCACCTTTTGGGACATCTTGTTCTCATCTAAACTCAGTGAACTGTAGAAGCTTCTCATACATAACCTGGGGATAATGGAGTTGCATCTCAATTCTTCCGCATTTTACCTGCTGTCCCCTGTGACACCTCTCCCTTAGCTCAGGAGCACAACTTTGCTCAGGGAATGTTCCCACCAGTGGAAAAGAAGCCAGTCCAGTATCTTAAATGACTTGATGTAGGGTGGTGGCCTTTTGCAAATTGCCTCTGATCCTTAGTCATGGAGGTGGGTGTTTGTTTTAGCCATACTGTTGCGCTAAAAACCCCTATTAAGCATGTTTTTCTTTTTAGTGGCGTAGAGGCTAAGCAGCCAAATTCTGCCATCAGGAAGTGTGTCCGAGTCCAGCTAATTAAGAATGGCAAAAAAATAACAGCTTTTGTTCCTAATGATGGTTGTTTGAACTTTATTGAGGTGAGTAACTATTGATTTTAAGAATTAAATGAGTGATGTATGTAGTACATAAACAGGGATGGCATTATACTGCTAAAATATTATTTAGTGTTATAATGCATTTCAGCTTTCTGATGGTGGATGAAAGAAAGCTTTCTGTGAGCTGGTAGGGAGATTTCCAGAGAGCCATTTCTCCAAAAATGCAAGTTCTATACCTAAAAAGTGCAAGATTTGAGGCAAACCTATACACATGTACCTGAGATAATAAAGGGAAAGAGAAGAAGGAACATTGAAAGTTGGCTGATGAGGAAGGGGAAATACTGAACCTGCAAAGTGAAGCTACCAGTAGTTCAGGCATTGATCAGACTGATCGGAAATAATACTGGACCCATGAATTTAGTTTTCTAGAAGTAAAATCTTTCTCAAGGAGGGTAGGAAAAGCATCTCAAGAAATTGGTTGTGTCTCTTCCCATTCTTCCAGCTATGCTGCTGCAAGTATAATAATTTGAAGATCATGTTGGTCTGACACTTTATTTCTGGCAGAATTCAGTTTGATGCAGTGCTTGAAAATTGAAAACATTTTGCCGAGTGAAAAAATAATCATACCTGCTTTTGTTTAATTTAGGAGAATGATGAGGTTCTGGTTGCTGGCTTTGGTCGAAAGGGTCATGCTGTTGGTGACATTCCTGGAGTTCGTTTCAAGGTTGTCAAAGTGGCAAATGTTTCTCTGCTAGCCTTGTACAAAGGCAAAAAGGAGAGACCCAGATCATAAAAGTTCTCTTCTGTTATACAGATAATAAAGTTTTCTGCTAAGAAATGTCTTCTTTTTTTATTGTGTGGACTTTTGTGGTTTGGACATTTTTGTTTATAATGATGACCTCAACACCTGCAGTGCCGCTTCTGTAAGAAGAAAATAATGCTTAGAATAAGGTTAGTATGTTTTGATCTGTAACTCTTAGTAAGTAGTCTTACAATTGATGAAACATGGGCTTGAAATCTAGTTTATTTCCTAAGCTGAATACTTTAATCCTACTTTTTGAATTTTGGAATTGTTTAGTTTTTTTACCCCAGTTTTTCCATCAGTTGTTTAAGCATGAACATAAACATGGAAAAAAAGATGAAGACCACCCCATAAACCTATCTAATGTAGCACTGAGTTTCTAAGGCTGCCCATCTTTGAACGCACACAAATACCATGACCACCCCAACACTCCTCGGGATGCACCACCATGTGAAGATCCTTAAGGTGGCCTCACTTTTATCTCAGAAATTGCAGGGACGACAAAAAGAGAATGCTTTAGTGTACCAAAAATTATTCCAAGTTTTTCTTTTTTCCCCTCTGTGAATAACAGATCATTTCAAAAGGACAGTTGGAAAAATTCACCTGCTTCTCAGCTTTAGACAAGCAGCTTGAACTTTCCTAGGCTACAGCACATCGGGCTCCAAGTAGCGAGTTCTATACCTGCAGAGAAGTGGGTACCATGGTTAGGTACATGGGCTTCCTAAAATCATACCTTTTTCAATATCATTGTTTTATTTATGGGTGTTTTTCTCAAGGAGTGAATGTTCATTTATGTAATCCTGTGGTCTGAAGTAATACAGTGATGATGTTACTGTGTGAAAAGCTGTTCCACTAGAGAGATGCATAAAGCTGCCAACAAAGGTACTTGCATGCGGTGTGGATACTGGTTTTCTCTCTTTGGAGTGAGCTCTACTTTGCCTTTATCCCCAACCAATATACACAGTGACTGGATTCACACATAATGCTAAGCAATGCTATGGCATGGTATCTCACCTTGTGATCTAGGCTGACATTCGTGAAGTTTTCATTCATGCATGGTTTCCATCTTCTCTCCGAATGGGAGCATGTAGCTCAGTCTCTGTGACTCAGAATCCATCCCACAGTACACTGCTTCTACCTATGCCACCTGCTTCTCCCTCATCCCACATACTCCTGAGAATGGTCTCAGCCAGCTGCCTTTTCCTGCTTTTCTGTTGCTTGGTGAAGAAACTGCCTACTCACTGGAGTAGAACTGTTACTCTAGAGGAGCAATTCAGGGATGCTCCTCACTGCTGCCCTGTTTTGAGCCAACATACAAGTGTACACACACACACACTGCTCTCCCCCTCCCTCACTGCACATGTGTCCATGTTCTATCCATGGGGTTCATGCAGACGGCCAGGGGATGCTTCCCCCTCCACCCAGGCAAACGGAAGTTACCTGTTTGGGCAGGAGTGTGTCCTGCTGGAAATACCACCAAGGCTACCCATGTGGTTATCGCTGTGCCAGGGGTGTGGGGGACATCAGCCCTTGTTCAGGGATGCCAAGGATATGATAGGAGGGTGGGCACATGCCTGTGCAGCCCTTGTGTGTGAAACCCTTCACAAGAGGAGAGTGCTGGTTCCCTGAGCAGAACAAGCAGCCATTTGGAAGGGCTGCTCCAGCATAGTCCAGTGCCCCAGCAGGAGTGCAAGGCCTGGCTGCCTCCATGCTCTCTGCTGCTGGAGACGACGCAGTGTGATGCCCCACTGCTGCTGCCATTCCAAAGTTGCTGCTGAACATCGAGGCAATGCATGGAAATAAACAAGGAATGTGAAGCACCCCGTCAGCATGGCTGCAGCTATTTCAGCAGTTTCTAGGCAGAATGGGATGGTGGAACAGGGAGGCTGGAGCATCTGTTGCAGCTGTGGCCACTCTTGGCACCAAAATTCATGGAGAAACCACATGGAAACATCGTAAATGGGGTCACACACAATGAGCCACAGTGAAATGCAGAAATCTTAAAGCAAACCATTGTTTCTCCATGTGGTTTCCTGAAAACCAAACCTGCCATTCTTCACCATGGGTGCTGGGTTCATACACAACTGGTTGTGCAGTTTTCAGCATGACTGGCTAAGTGTAACTTCAGCCACTCTCTGAAAAGAATGATGATTTGCCATTTCTTATATTCCTTTCCTGTGTTTGAGATGTGCTTAAAGGGCATGCTATGTCTATCTGAGCAAATATTTGTTCAGTTCTTTTATTTTAAAAAAAATCCAAATCCCATTCCTCTTACACTTGGATTACTGCAGAGAAGGGAAGGTTTTGTGACTGTCAAGCACTAGTCAGCACTGTGCAGCCCTTTAATACAGCCAATATACTTCCAGAGTGGGTTCACAGTTAAATTACGTGCAATTCTATGAATGCTTACTTTGACACTTAAAGATTCTCTTGGAACTCTCAGTTTGAAATTTCACCCAGCTGAACAGCTTGGTGGTGTCTGCAAACTTAGCTATTCCACTATAGATATTTAAGGATACCTCACAGATATCTATGTTTATTTTCCACCATTAAAAATGTCTCGGACATTTTTACTGTTTCCTTCTTGGTGTTTTTAAAAGCCACCAATCGTTCTCCTCTGCTATGGGGTAAATGAGGCACCTGAACTGTCTGGAACATTTATCCAAGTATTACTACAAATTAAGCTGCTGGCTACCAACTTGTCCACATATGGTAAACTGCTGGGTGTGAGCCAGATTCTTTCAAATCACACTGTATGGCAAATAGCTCCCCCCACTTGCTTGTACCCCTTTGTCTTTATTGAAGTTTTAAGTTTGCTATAATTAGAATCCACTGCACCAAATGATGAAAATAACTTTGAAGCCCAAGTGTGGATCTTGTGCATGCTTCCCTGGGAACCACATCCCACTGAATAAAAATACACAACATGGACTGTGATTCAGACTTCAGAAATAATTGAGAATAAATCCAAGGCACTAGTTCCAGTGCCTTGCAGAAGTTGTCCCTCCGCCCCCACAAACATTTTTGTTGTGCTGCAACTTGGAATTGAAATTGGTTTAATAGTCATTTTTACCACTTGATGTACCTGAGAAAATTTGCACCGAAAGGGCTGAGTATTTTTTACAGTGGTATATAATAAAAGAAACATTTTGGCAGGGGCCAATACTTATTGAACTCTGCTTAATCAGGCTACATGTGAGTAGAATCCTGCTGATGGATGCCCTGCTGGATGTCCCTTTCAAAAAAAAGCCCTCTGGAATGGCATGGCCCATGGTGCTGGGGCCTGCACAGTGGGAGGGGGATCAGCAGAAAGGTACGTATTAAAATACTTTCATGCCACGTAATAAATGAAGCCTCTTTAAAGTGCTGTGAGAGGACCTCCATCATTATCTCTGTCATCTCCAGCCTTTAACCCAGAAGGAATGTCATAGCTATGGCTGGAAACAGGCAGTGTACTAATGAGAACCCTGTTCCGTAGGATAGCCTGACTTGTAGCACACAAGGGGAGATGTTTCCACCACGAGTGGCTGCTTGATTATGATACTGCAGGGGCTGAGGAAAGGCATTGGCATGCTCCACACACAGACCCCAAGCGAGAGATACTTGTACTAGTTCCAAAGCTTGGCACAGATTTGAGAAAATAAAGACTATCTCACCTCAGACACTTCGCCAGCGGTAACAGATGATCAGTTCTAGCAATGGTTTGATTTGCGGTTCAGCTCTGGCAGCTGCGCAGGAAAATCCCCCCGCTTGGCCTCTGTGTTGAAAGTGACTCTTTCCATTTCATTCCATGCCAGGCGGGGGTTCCAACCTGCAGACAGTCTGGCAGACACTTCCTAAGCTGCAGCAGTGATACTAAATCCAGAGAAAATGTATGTGACAGAGTTAATTTTTCATGCGTTTATTGAGTTTGCATTACAAAATTGGAAGCAAAAGCAGGATTTTGCAAATGTTGGTGTCTGTTGGTAGAATGAAAGAATTACAAATTGGCGGAAGGCAAATGCTGTATTAAGTCTGTGGAATTCAGGATATTCTGCCTTCACATCTAATAATTTGAACAGCAGTTTTAGAAATGGGCACACATTGCCCCAAGTGAGAATGATAGCAGAGAAATAGGAGGAAATTCATAAAGAGGTACTTTCTGTTGCAGCAATGTAGAGCTATTATAAATTACTATTTTGATGTGCAATAGTGACATTCCTGTATTGAGTCCATCAGAATTTGATGTAAGGTTTTTGGTGTGGAGGGCCACACGCTTGCTCTACTTATGTGGGCAATAGGCCACTGGATTCAGTAGGACCTACTTCTGAGTAGACATGTATAGGATTTTACTGTTAGTATTCCAGCATTGACTGTCGTGGAGATATTAAAAAGTAGTTTGTGGAGTGTTTGTATCTATCCAATCTTTAATTCTCTCACCTTTTAAAATTACATTTTTAATGTACCAGGAGACTAATACATTATGTATGTTAGCATATGGAATTGTTGAATGGATTTATGCATGTCTAAAGGGATTTATAATCAGAACATATGTGATTTTGCAATGAAAAGCAGCTCAGTTCTTCTGAAGTGAAAAGACAGGTATCTTAGGTGCAATTAATATTTGTATTAGCATTTGTTGAGGTTAAGGTTTGTTTCATGAAGGGCTGGGTGGTGTAAACATGCGACAGCAATCCTACACTAACTACATTGCTGCCAATGCATTTCTGAGCCCACTTTAAAGTGCCCTTTTTAACTTTTAAATCTTTAAAAGGGTTTGGGCCCAAGTTGTCTTTTCCTATACAAGTTTGCCCCCATTCTGAGATTATCAGCAGGAGCCCTTCTCGTCTGCTCCCTGTGAAGCACAGCACGGAAGGGGGTCTTTTCTGTGGTGGCACTGCACTCCAGGAACAGGTTTTTGTCTGGAAGTCATCAGGCCCCTTTTTTGCAGTTCTTCTGAAAGTCTTGAAGAGCCACTTGCTGTTGACGGGCTTTTCATAATCTGTGGGCAGCAGGTTGTATTCGTGTTATTTTGTTTTTTTAGATTATTATTAGAT